CCTTAGGTCGGGTCCAGGGCCTGTGCTGGTGTCCCTGGACACCAGATCAGGGGTTTGGTCAAATCGGAGGGAGCCCCGCCCTGTCACTGAGCTGCATGCGCAGGTGGCAGGTCCCTCCCGCTGCGGAGGAGGAAAGGGCCGCGCGGGGAGCTGCGAGATGCTGGCGGTGGTGGCCGCGGGACAGAGCCCTGTCTGTGCTCCCCACAGCCGTGTGATGACAGCGTGGGGCGGGGGAGGACCTGACACAGGTTCTTACTTTGCCACGTGCCCTTCCTTCCTCTCATGAAATGCCAAGAGGCAGGGCAGGACAGTGGGAGCACCGCACAGCCCCCCAGGTCTGTGGCGCTTGGGCGGGTGCGCGTCCCAGGGCCCCAGTCCTTCCGTCCACTAGTGCACATGTGACGGAGGCTGACTCTGGAGCCAAACACGACAGCACGCCAGGCTTTCGGCAAGTTGGAGTGGCTTCTTGACCGGACAGGCGGCAGTCACACGCGCCACCCTTCCCCAGGGGCGCCCCCCCGAGCTGTGCCCGCCACCTCTGCACTCAGACCCGGCCTTGAGCTTGCCCACAGCATCTCGGGGAAGCGGGGCTGAAGTTTGCGTTGCCGGTGTGGCCGTCTCCCGGGGTGGCCAGAACCCCGCAGCCTGACACAGGCCTCAGGCCCCTGATCCCCTTGGCCCTGGAGGTCTGGGTGGGCCATCGTCTGTGGCAGTTGTGTGTCCCTGGTGACACGGAGGACCCCCAGGTCACTGGCCAGGGCAGTCCCGGCGTCTCTGGCCCTGTGCTCAGTCAGCGGGACCCCAGACCTGCACAGCTGGAGGGAGACAGGTGTCAAACTGTCTGGGAGGGCAGAGGCTGCAATCCCACCTACGGTTCTTTCAAAACAGAGTGAGCCCTGTGTGCAGCCCTGGGGTTCCAGGTGTGAACGTGCTTCCTCTGTCTCCTCAGGCTTCGCTCGTCGGTGCAGGAGCCACTCCCCAGCCATGGAGGGGGAGGAGAAGCAGCCATCCCAGGAGGTCAAGGCCTGGACCAGACGCGGTGGCAGGGGTGGGGGGGGTTCCTGTACAACCTCGGGCTCAGGGTCCAGCCAGCTGCTCGACAGAGTGTGGGTGCCCCCCTCAGCGTGGCAGCCTGGGATCACTGGCTGCCTCTGTGTGTGTGGTTTCCCGGGGTGTTTCTGGGTCAGCCAAGGGGGACCTCGGGCCAGGGAGCCTGGGGCGGGCCGCGTACAAGGGGCGTGCGCAGCTCACAGAGCAACGGCACAAGTCCTTGGTGGACCCCTGGGGACACGTGGTGCCCTGAGCCCAGGCAGGCCCCCGGGAGGGTGGGCACCCTGACTCAAACGTTCCCCTTCCCTCTGCAGGCTGACACGGAACCTGTTGTGACAGTCGGGGCTTCAGAGGTGGTGCCCAGGGTGCTTTCTGGAGAATCCCAGAACCTGTGTGCGTGCTCCCTGAGATCATTCCGGGCTGGGGGGCGGGGCAGCTCCCTGGCCAGAAGGGGCTCGGACTGGGTGACCTGAGTCTGGCGGATAGTGGCCTGGGCCAGCCCCGGGCTGGGGGTCTCTGAGGGGCTCTGGAGCACAGGCAGGGGCCTTGGAGCCCCATCAGGAGCCCCTTCACTGGGGTGGGGGGCTCAGTGCTTCGAGATGCCGTGGACGCTCGGACAGCTGGGGCTCCCCCTTGGGGACGCATGCCCCTGTGCGTATCTGGGCTCCGCGCGTGGCTCAGCTCTGAGAACGGGGTGCCCTGGCTGCCAGTGTGCCGCACCCCACCTGACGCGCCGTCCTTGCAGCCGACGCGGACGCGCTGACCCTCCTCCTGGAGATGAAGCTGAGGCGGCGGCGAGAGCGGCCCAGCCTGCCGCGCACGGTGACCGAGCTGGTGGCCGAGGACGGGAGCAGGGTGTACGTGGTGGGCACGGCCCACTTCAGTGACGACAGCAAGAAGGATGTGGTGAAGGTGAGGCCCGGCACGCTGGGCTGGCCTCGGCCGGGCAGCCCTGTCCCGTGAGCCGCCACCACCTCCTGCGTGACACCCGCGCCCCCAGAAAGGGGATTTCGGATACCGCGGAGCCCTCGTGGCCTCGTGTGCTTTTCTGTTCAGCAACGAGCAGACCTGTTGTGTCGTTTAAAGAGATGTGTCGTCCGCGCGGCAGCCGAGGTGGCCTACACCTGCGGGGACAGGGTCGGGGTCCGTGCTGGGCCCAGGGCACCAGGCTGAGCTGGCTCGTCCCTTGCAGACCATCCGGGAAGTGCAGCCTGACGTGGTGGTCGTGGAGCTCTGCCAGTACCGCGTGTCCATGCTGAAGATGGACGAGAGCACGCTGCTCCAGGAGGCCAAGGAGATCAGCCTGGAGAAGCTGCAGCAGGCCGTGAGGCAGGTGCGGCGTCGGGGGGCCCGGGCTGGGCGCCCCTCTCCAGGCAGCTGCTCCTCCCGCCTGCGAACACAGGGCCGTCCGGTCCGTGCAGAGGCGCCCAGGGGACTTGGCCTGGGGCGGGAGAGGGGCGCGCCTGTGTTGGCTTTCGGACTAGGGAGTTGGGGCGGGGGAGCTTCAACCCCTGCGGAAGAGCCGGACGGGAAACCCCGGGAGCTCGGCAAAGGGGAGGGGGTGGTCTCGGGGTGCTGGCTGGCCTCCCCCACCCCCGTACATCTCCCACAGGGACATGTGCCCCTGGAGTTGGGGTCTGGGCTGGAGGGGCAGGAGGGAAGGGGCATCCGCTGTGGAGGCCGCTCCTGTCCACAGCCCTTGCTCAGCCCCAGAGCGTAGGTGGGGCCTCCCCTCGCTGCTGGGGAAACCTGTGCTCTGTGCCCATGTGGCCACTGACCACCGGCCCCCTCCCCTGCAGAACGGGGTCATGTCTGGACTCATGCAGATGCTGCTGCTGAAAGTGTCAGCCCACATCACTGAGCAGCTGGGCATGGCTCCTGGTGGCGAGTTCAGGGAGGCCTTCAAGGAGGTGGGCCTGGGTTCAGCCGGGAGGAGGGGTGCCCAGGAGCTGCCCGGGACTCAGGTGTCCCCAGCGAACACCTAGCCTCTGCCCCAGGCCAGCAAGGTGCCTTTCTGCAAGTTCCACCTGGGCGACCGGCCCATCCCCGTCACCTTCAAGAGGGCCATCGCGGCGTTGTCCTTCTGGCAGAAGGTGAAGCTGGCCTGGGGCCTGTGCTTCCTGTCAGACCCCATCAGGTAGGGCCCCTCGGCCTCCCCGCAGGCAGCCCCACCCAGGAAGAGCGGCCCGGCCCCCTCGGTCAGGAGCTAAGCCTCCTCAAACAAGGCCTTTCCACCCTTCCTTCTACCGTGAGCCCAAACACAAAGGGCGCGGAGGTCCCTGCCCTGGGTCAACAGCGCCGGCCAGCCTCCTGCGGGCCGCCGCGTCCGCACGAGGCTGGCAGTGCGCCCTCTGCCCCCAGCAAGGACGACGTGGAGCGCTGCAAGCAGAAGGACCTGCTAGAGCAGATGATGGCGGAGATGATCGGCGAGTTCCCCGACCTGCACCGCACCATCGTCTCGGAGCGCGACGTCTACCTGACCTACATGCTGCGGCAGGCGGCCCGGCGCCTCGAGCTGCCGCGCTCCTCCGACGGTGACCGCCGCGGCAGGCCGGGCAGGGGCTCTTTGGGCCCGGTTGCCGCTGGGCCGGGGCTGACGCGTCCCTTCCCCCACAGCTGAGCCCAGGAAGTGCGTCCCGTCCGTGGTGGTGGGCGTCGTGGGCATGGGCCACGTCCCGGGCATCGAGAAGAACTGGACCACGGACCTCAACATCCAGGAGATCATGACGTGAGTGCTGCCCGCGAGCGCAGAGCGGGGCCCGGCTGGGGGCGGCGGCCAGGCGGGGGGGAGCATGTGCACGCCCCCCACCCCCGAGCCAGGCCCAGCCCGCCCTCCCTTCCCCAGCGTCCCCCCGCCGTCCATCTCCGGCAGAGTGTCCCGGCTGGCCGTGAAGGCCGCCTTCGTGGGCCTGCTGGGCTACGGCCTCTACTGGATGGGACGCCGCGCCACCAGCCTGGTCCTGTCGCTGCCTGTCACTCAGTACTGTCTGCAGAGGGTGTCCTCGGCCCGACCGCACAAATAGGAAGGACCAGCATGGCGGGGGACCACCCTCCCATGCCCCCCCAGGAGCTCTGGGTGCCACCCCCCGTGGGGGTCGAGGCCCAGCCACCCCTGCCCTCCCCCAACCCGCCCAAATAAAGAATTATTTAACTGCTCTGAGCTCAGGCTTCCCAGCAGCCCCTCCCCCACCCCATCCCTGGCCCCTGCAGGGCCCCCTCACGGCGTTCAGGGGTGTCAGGACCATCTGGCGGGGGAGGGGCCGAGTTGGGCACAGCCAGTCCTCCCCTACCTCACTGTGCCTTCTCGTGGGCTGGCAGCAGGAGCCCCGGCCCAGGCACACCCGGCGGCGGGGTCTGGGCCGTCGGGCTCCCGGCCGCGTGTCTGGGAAGGGCCGGAGCCGCTCCATGGTGGTGCCTGGGAGCGTCCCTCCCGGCAGGGCAGCCGGGCTGAGCTTGGTCCCACGGACATGCACCGTGGCCTGTGGAGATTGTGTTTTTGGCTTTTAAAAATGTCTGAAGTTTTTTTTACTCAGGTAATTTTAACTTAAAATGAACTGAGGCAAATGTCAGGAAATAACAAGCCTTAAATCTGATTGGGACAAAGAGGATGTCTTGGTGGGGGGGATGGGGGGACTCAGTCCTAAGCAGATGAGCCTGGGGGAAGGGTCGGCTTCAGCTGCGGAGCTGGGCCGGCCTCCGGACGCTGACCCCCACCCCCCGCTGCCCCCTCGGTCAGCCCCTAGCTGGGGGCCATCCAGGGCTGCGGACCCCGGGCCTGAGTCTCCCCCTCCCCAGGCACGGAGGACCACACCTGCTTCTCACGCTGCACCCTCAGTGGGCAGAGGGTGCGTGTCCCCCAGAGCCCAGCAGCTGGCACACGTGCTGGCAGATGCCCGCCACCATTCTGCGGCCCCGCACGGGGCACCCACCCCGGGCATCTCCTGTGTGTGTCGTCACCGCTCCTGGTCATGTGTCTGTGACGCATCTGTGTGGCCCACCTGGGGCCCGGGGTCCTGCTCCATTGTGTTTGTGTTGACTCAGTGTCTGACAAAATCAGGTGAAACCCACGGCTGTGAGCTGGGCTGGACCGTGTTCTTCCTGTCACGTACGTGCGTGTACACGTTACTTAGAAACTGAAATAAAGTCTAATTTTGGAAGCTCCTGTTTGGTGGAATGTGTGGAAACGGGACTCAAGGGGCAGGGGAGGAGGTGGCCTGGGCCGCTGGCACTGCCTTGGGGCCTGGAGGACTTCCGGCCACTGCCTGCCTCTCAGCAGAAGATCCTGCTCCCAGGCCCAGTGAGGACACCCGCCAAGGGGAAGTGTGCTCAGAGGGGCAGCCCAGCCCTCGCCTCCCTGTCCACACCCTCGGGCTCCCCACCCCTGGGAGGAGAGGAGGTGGGGCAGCCCCGCGCCCGCACAAAAGGTGCTGGGGACGCGTGGCTCAGATCTGCCCAGAAAGAACAGTGAGCACCACAGGGGGCGTGCGCGGAGGCTGGTAGGGCCGTGGGCTGGGCTCCCCACCCACCATGTCTGCACCCCCAGGAAGCATGGCCGCCTGCCCCGTGCTGGGTCTTGCTGCTCTCCTCTGCCTCTCTGCGCCCCAGGCCAACTCCGTGGTGCAGTATCGACAGCCGGTAAGGGTGGCCGTCAGGCCAGTGGCTCTCATGAGCCTGAGATGGGCTGGGCCTCCCAGAGCTACTGAGCCTGCCTCTCACCAGGGTCCTCTCTCCACAGGTGCACGTGGTGCTTCTGGAACCCCAAGGTCTGGCTGCGTGGGGTGGCGGAGGGGCTGGCCGGGTGGGCCCGAGACAGGCAGCCTCTCACCTGTCACCCACAGGTCCCCACCCAACAGGTCTCACTCCCCTTGAGGACCCAGCTGAGTCCCTGCCCAGAACAGCCTGAGGGGAGGGCAAGCAAGGACCAGGCCCCACTGTTATTCCCTCCTAATGCGGGCTGGGCTTGGGGTAGCGCTCGGACCGCTGCCAGGCCAGGAGGAGGAAGGTGGGGAAGCCAAGACTGACCTTGCGAGGGCAACAGGTGAGGGCGTGTCCAGGGCCGCGGGAAGAATGGAGGGTCTGGGCAAGGGCTGGAGGCCGGCCAATTTCCAAAGAGGCCTGAGATGGGTATGGCCCAAGGTGAGGGGACTGTGGCTGCCCACCTGCCAGGACCAAGGTTGTAAATCGCCTGGCAGACTGTCACAGGGTGTCTGCAGGAGGACAGTTCTGGTTCCAGGCACCGAGAGAGCGTGGCCCCTTCGCAGGCCCTGAGCCTTCCCGGCCCTATCTCCTGCAGGGAGGGACTGCTCTCACATCTGGGCGGAGAGACCCCGCGCCCCGAGCGGTGTGTACACTGTCCAGCCAGAAGGAGCCAGCACCCCCTTCAGGGTGAGCACCCCACAGCGAGGGCCCGGGGGTGGTGTGTGTGTCACCCGGACAAAAACAAGAGATGGCACTGTCCACCTAGCCGGGGAAGGGCCAGCCAGGCCAGGCGCCACTGGTGGAGTCCGTCCTCAGACACCCAGGCACAGGGATGTTCACGGACGTTGTGTGACAGTCAGGAAAGGCTGGGAGAAACCTAGGCTTCCACCTTGAGGGGTCTGACGCTGAGTGAAAAAACAAAGACACAGAGCAGGGCGCAAAGTGACGTCGAACTGGGCAGGCTTCCTGGGGCCCAGGCCCTTACTGCCAAGCTTCACCCCCTTTCTGAGAAAGTGAATTTAATGTGATACAAGTTTACCTGATACTGACAAGTAGAAAACCAACGTTTCAGTTTTCAAATACAGTGTTTAAGGGAGAATGGACGGGAGAGGGGCAGTGCCTGCCACGGGCTGGCCCTTTTCCCAGGTTCTCTGTGACATGCGCCCAGACGGTGGCTGGACAGTGATTCAGAGCCGAGACCAGGGCCGGGGGACGCCTCTGGACTTCGAGAGGTGCTGGCAGGAGTACAAACAGGGCTTCGGAGACCTGAGAGGTAGGACTGTGCTGCCCAGGGACCCAGGGGTGTAGCCCTCCAGGCCTTGATCCCCACTGGGGACACAGGGCAGAGATGGTAGGAGGCTGGGGTGGCCCGTCACACAGCAGCCTCTGCCTCTGCAGGTGACCACTGGCTGGGGCTGGAACACATCTCTAGCCTGACCTCCCAGCCGGGCCTGCGCTCCGAGCTGAGCGTGGATCTCCTGGACGCGGACAACCGTACGCTGCAGGCCCACTATGATGACTTCCGCGTGGGCAGGGAGGAACGGTTTTACCAGCTGACCCTCGGCCAGTACTCGGGGAATGCAGGTGAGTGCTTGGGAGGTAAGGGACCCTTGTGCCTGCTTTGCCCCCTGGGCTTTCTAGCCTGTGGGGAGGGGGACTCTTGCAGCAGGCCAGAGTAAGTAGGGAAGGTTGGGCCCCTGGAGCCCCCCATTTTCCAGCTAACATCTGCCAGCCTCTGTGCTCTGGGAAAGACGACCGCTTCCCAAGCACCTGCCCTGGGGTCCCAGATGGCCAGACAGCGAGTGGGGGGGCCTTGGGGGCAGTTGGCCCGCCACCCACACTGCCACAACGCTGCAGGGGATGCGTTCCGGGGCTTGGGCCACACGGACAACCAGGAGGGCTGTGGCTTCAGCACGCTGGACCGTGACCATGACCGCTGCTCGCCTTGCGTGGACGGCTCCCAGACCTTCACCAGCTGCAGCCACGATCGCTCGGGCGCTGGATGGTGGTACAGCGACTGCGGCCGTGCTGACCTCAACGGGCTGTGGCCGGAGCAGGCAGGGGCCGCCTCGGGCATGCGCTGGGCTGCTGGTGACCACCAGCCCGCTCTGCGCGCCAGCGTGCTGCGCGTGCACACCACTGCTTCCGGCAAGGTCTAGGCCTCCCGCCCGTCCATGGCCGAGCCTCATTAAATGTTCAAGCCTGGCTGTCCTTGGGGTCTTCCTTGGGGTCGGGAGTGGGGAGGGGCCGAGCTCTGCTCTGGCCCAGCCTGGCTGCTCAGACCCTGCTCACCCGGGATGTCTGTCCATCCAGGACAGGCCTAGGGAAATCCAGGAGGCCGTGCAGCCCAACATTTAGGCCAGAAGCCAGGTCACCACATCTGAGATGGCACTACCTCTTGGTGCTGGTTCCTCCTGGAACCCTTGGCACCCACCAGAGCCACCACTGGCTATGACCTCTGTGAGGGCAGCCAGCAGGACACAGAACGTGGTACTCTTGAGCCTTCAAGAACCCGATCCCACCAGATTCCAAGGTGTGGGTAAGGCAGTGGGGTGAGGGGCTGGAGATGCGTCAGAAGGGCCTGGGACCTGGGGGAGTTGGGGGTGGGCAGTGACAGTAGGCTCAGGCCAGGTCCCCTAGGCAGTTAGGAAGAAGGCTGGGAACAGGGTTCTCTGCCAACAGACCCAAGTGAAGGCCCCGGTGAGGCTCAGTGGGGAGGCAAAGTCAGGCTGCAGGAGGAGACCCTGAGGCTCTGAGCACCTGCTGGGACCTAACCTACCACAGAGAAGGTAGTGTCCTTGACCATCTCAGGGATGATGACTCTGAGCTGGAGAGGGGCTGAGGGGTTCCCCAGTGTCACAGCTGACAGGGCCAGTGATGGTTCACATGAGCTCTGGGAGGCCCACATTTTGGCCCCAGGAGAAAGTTCCACAGGCGGCTCCTGGAACTTGAGGGTAGAATCCAGCCAGGAGGGAGCTCGTGCATTTGTCCAGGGTCCCCTGCTAGCTCCTGGTCTTGGGTTTTAGTATGGGGCCAGGTGGAGGAGGGGGGTGGGAAGCCTTTCCAAGGACCTCCATCCTGCGTTCTTTTCCAGCCTGAGCATCTGAGGTCTTTATTCTGCAACACGCCTCCTGGCTTCTCTGGGGCAGACGCTTGGAGGCCAGACTTGGCTCTCCCCAGTCTCCCGGACAGTATGTGGGGAGCTTCTCTCGGCCAGGCGCTGTTCTGGAAGAACTGGCCCCAGATCACGCAGACTGTGTGCCCTCCTGGAGCCCGGCGAGGAGACAGGCACGGAAGAAACCGGAAGACGAGGGCGTGAGCTCGTGTCGGGGGTGCTCCGAGGGAAAAGCAAGGTTCCCGCGGGCACTTCGGGAGGCACGCGGGGCGGCACGGAAGCCAGGACGCAATAGCAGTCCTGCTCCGAGCAGAGGCAGAGCAGGGGCAAAGGGGCTCACACACCGGGGAGGAGCCCGGCCTGGCCCGAGCGCTGCCCAGTCTCAGGCTTGGCTTCGCCCTGGGGCTCTTCACGGCCTGTCCCCAGGGACACGGGCCCTCCACCCGAGCTGAGACCCCCCCTTCCCTTCTGCCTCGCTGCCCGGCGCAGCCGAGGACAATCCAGAGACAGCCCCTGACACAGCACGGGGCCAGAGCTGACCCTGCCCGCCCCGCCCCCCCGGGTCGAGGGGCACCCCTGGTGGTCGACCCGGCACGTCCCTCAACACGGTCACCCCGCTCGGAGCTCGGAGCCCCGACTGTCCGGCCTTTTTGGGGCCGGACCTCCAGGGACCTGCTGGCTCGTCACGCAGGCCCGGTCCCCCCGCTCCCCGATCGGCTCCAACACTGGGCCGCAGGCCCGCGGAGGCGGACGGGTCGCAGGCGGGTCGCAGGCGGGTCGCAGGCAGGTCGCAGGCGGGTCGCAGGCGGGTCGCAGGCGGCCAAGTCCTCCTTCCCCTGCCGGCCGCCGCGAGCTGACAGACGCACGCCGCAACCAGTCAGAGTCAGGCTTTCGCGGGCGCGGCCCGCGCAGGCGCACCAGCGGACACCACCGCCGGCGATTGGGCGACTAGGCACGCCCACCGGGCTTCCGGTCGGGGCAAAAGGGCTTCCGCCGCAGCCGCGCCGCGGATGGCAGCGCTCGGGGCCGCGCTGAGGGCCTCGCTCGTGGCCGCCGGTGCCCGGTCGGCGCCGCTGGGCCACCGCGCGCCGCACGCGCCCTGCTCCGCGTCTGCCGCTGCCCGCGGCGCTGCCATGGAGCCGGCGCCCCACTGGCTGGCGGGGCTGCGCTTCGACAACCGCGCCCTGCGCGCGCTGCCCGTGGAGACGCCGCCGGCCGGGCCCGAGGGCGCCCCGTCCTCGCCGCGGCCGGTGCCCGGGGCCTGCTTCAGCCGCGTGCGGCCCGCGCCGCTGCGCCAGCCGCGCCTCGTGGCGTTGTCGGAGCCCGCGCTGGCGCTGCTGGGCCTGGGCGCGCCGCCCGCCGACGCCGCCGCCCGCGAGGCGCGCGAGGCCGAGGCCGCGCTCTTCTTCAGCGGCAACGCGCTGCTGCCGGGCGCCGAGCCCGCCGCGCACTGCTACTGCGGCCACCAGTTCGGCCAGTTCGCGGGGCAGCTGGGCGACGGCGCCGCCATGTACCTGGGCGAGGTGTGCACGGCCGCGGGCGAGCGCTGGGAGCTGCAGCTCAAGGGCGCGGGCCCCACGCCCTTCTCCAGGTGGGCGCGCGCGGGGGGGCGCGGGCGGGCGGGACGCGGGGCGTGCTCGTGCCCACGCTTGTCCTCCCTGCTTGGGGGCGAGATGGAACTGGAAGTTTGGTCTGGGGACAGACACTGCGGGGGGCGGGGGTGTCCCAGGATCCCGGCGGAGGGAAGGGCTTGTGCAAAGACCCGGAGGTCACAGAGAGAGGACAGAAGGGGGGACTGTGGCTGCCGAGCCTGCGCCCCCGCTGCAGGACTGGTGCCAGGTGCCCTTGGGCCCTCTGCTGGCCTTGGTCCCACTGCACCAGCCCCTGCTGTGTCCTGTTCCTGTAAACACACAAGGACTTTGGAGTCAGTTCTGCCTGTGACGCTGGGTTCGCCGCTTGCCCCGCACAGCCCGCCTTGCCTGGGGAGGCAGGGCCGTCTCTCAGCCTCGCGGACAGCCCAGGCTTGCTCTCCAGCATCGCTGCCGTGTGTCCACCCACAGAGGCGCAGTGTGTGGCCGGTGCCCTGGACAGGGACCAGAACGCCTCAGATCCATGCCCCCAGTGGACGTTCTCCCAGACACAGGCTTCTGAGCGCTTGTAGGCCAGGGACCTGGGTCAAGGTCCCCACGGCCTGGCCTGGCAGGGGCTCTGAGACCGGTCCTGCCTCTCACGCACCGGACCGCGCTGACCCTCCGTTCTTCTCTGTTCCACTAAACCCGTGGTGCCTTTAGTCCTTCTGTGCTAAATACTTGTTGAGTGGCTAAAAAGCCACACCTAAGTTGTCATTTTCTGTGCAGAGAAGTCCTGAGGGCGTGTGTTCTGGCCAGTCCCTGTGCCCTCCCCGCCCCCCCAGGATCTGAACGCATCCCGCGCCCCCTGCCTGCCCCCCAGCAGCTCCATCTCTGACACCCCAGAGTAACTCATTCTTCCTCCTCACCTTCCTGTCCCTGGAAGTCTCCGGAGGTCAGCCTAGCGCCACTGCCACCACCCAGACAGCCTGTGCGGAGCTGTCCGCCCCGGCGAGGGAGGCGACAGTTCCTGCCCCTGGAAACGCCACCTCGGGGCCTGCTCACACTTCGAGCATCGTCAGACTTTGTGTGTTCAGTTTGGTCATTTGTTTTTGCCGGTTACTAAGACCTTCTCGGGAGAGGAACCCTCTGGACATCTCTTACATTTGAAGACTTGAGTGTTTTAAGCCCATGTTTCTAGACTTGAGCTCTGCTAGAATATTTCTCTTAAAAGAAAGGGGTCATTTCACCTTTCCTCAGCGTGTGCTGGGGTCCCCGGCCTCAGCATGCCTGGAGGCAACGTCCCGAGTGGCTGTGTGTGGCTTCAGGCCAGCCCTGTTGGGTACCTAGATGTGGGCTTTGGGGGATGGGCGGGTGACCTCCTGCCTGCTGTGGGGTTGGGATTTCGGGAGATGCCTCTCCCGGCGGGTACAGAAGAGCTTGTCCTCAGCTGGGTCCACCCCACAGCTGGGAACAGACACGGGTGTGCAGGAGAAGGGACTGCTGTCGCGTGTCGTGTTGGCCCTGTGGGTACAGAGAGGCCCTTTATCCTTGCTGTGTAATTGTCCGATTCTGGCTTTTGCTTTGGGAACCCTGCCTTGGGCAAGAAGACAGGCCGCTTAATTTCAGGACCGTTTTTACCAATTCAAGATTAAACTGACTGGTGCTGGCTTCCTGCCGAGCATGAGGTCTCGCTGGGTGAGAGTCGTTCCCAGGGCCGGGGGGCCGGCTGACATTTGAGGACAGGTCTCCTTGTCCCAGTTCCTCACGCGGACTAGAAGGAGGTGAGTGGAGCGCACTTGCCGCTCTGGCCAGACAGAGGCTGACGCAGTGAGCCCTGCGGTGACTGCCAGGTCTGGTCTCCAGAGGTGTCGCTCACACTGCGACGAGACATAACAGCAGGTGTTTGTGCCTAAGACCTTTATGAGGAGAACTGCAGCTGCTTAAAAGCTCGCAGAGGAAGACCGTGAACGGACGGCCACACCCCACGCCCACAAATGAGAAGACCCCGTCTTGTCAGGATGTCCGCTCTTCCCAGTTTGACTTACAGATTCAGTATGATCCCAGTCAGGGCGCCCAGGGGCCTCGGTCGGGGAGCGTCTGCCTTCGGCTCAGGTCATGATCCCGGGGTCCTGGGATCGAGCCCCTTGTTGGGCTCCCTGCTTGGCTGGGGAGTCTGCTTCTCCCTCTCTCATTCCCCCTGCTTGTGTTCTCTTGCTCTTCTCTCAAATGAATAAAATCTTTTAAAAAAGTACAATCCCGATCAAAATTTCAGCGGTTATTTTGCAGATACTGATGATGTGATTCTGAAGTTGACATGGAGAGGCACGTGCTGAAGGACAGCAGAGCCGGGGCACGGACACTGCCTAACCCTAACCCCAACCCAGGCTTGACTGTAAAACTGTAGTAATCAAGAAAACGCAGAGCTGGTGGGAGGACGGGTCATGGAACAACAGACCCCCCCATAAATGCTGTCACTTATGACACAGGAGCAAAGGCGGTACATGGAGCAAAGACCATCATTCGAACAGTTGGTGCTGAAGCAACTGGACGTGTACACACCAAAAATGGACCAGACATGGACCTTAGACCCTGAAAAATTGAAAAATTAACTCAAAAGGGATCATAGACCTAAACGTAAAATGCAGAACTATAAAACCAGAAGATAAACTAGAAAACCCAGAGAACGTTGAGTTTGGACATGATTTTTTATTCTTTTTTAAAGATTTTATTTATTTGAGAGAGAGAGAGAGTAAGAAACAGCATGGCGTGGGGGAGAGGCAGGGCGAGAAGCCGGTTCCCCACTGAGCCGGCAGCCCGATGCAGGGCTGGATCCCAGGACCCCGGGATCATGACCTGAGCCAAAGGCAGACGCTTCACCAAGTGGGCCACCCAGGCGTCCTGGGACGTGATTTTTTGACACAACATCAAAGGCGAGATCCACAAAAAAAAATCACGGATAAGCTGGACTCCAGTGAAGTTAAAACTTTTGCAACTGAGAGTATTAAGAGAATGAAGAGAAAATATTTGTAAAAGACATGCCTGATAAAGGACTATTATTCAAAGCAGACAAAGAACTCTTAAAACTTAGGACGCCTGGGTGGCTCAGTTGGTTAAGCAACTGCCTTCGGCCCAGGTCATGATCCTGGAGTCCTGGGATCGGGTCTGGCATCAGGCTCCCAGCTCCATGGGGCATCTGCTTCTCCCTCTGACCTTCTCCCCTCTCATGCTCTCTCTCAAACAAATAAATAAAATCTTAAAAAAAACTCTTAAAACTCAAACCATAAGAAAAACAAAAAGACTTCAAAATGGGCTAAAGCGGGGCGCCTGGGTGGCTCAGTGGGTTGAGCCGCTGCCTTCGGCTCAGGTCATGATCTCGGAGTCCTGGGATCGAGCCCCGCATCGGGCTCTCTGCTCAGCAGGGAGCCTGCTTCCTCCTCTCTCTGCCTGCCTCTACCTGCTTGTGATCTCTCTATCAAATAAATAAATAAAATCTTTAAAAAAAAAAAAAATGGGCTAAAGCTGGGGCGCCTGGGTGCTTAGTGCAATGATCCTGGGGCCCTGGGATCGAGCCCCGCATGGGGCTCCCTGCTCAGTGGGAGGCTCCTTCTCCCCGCTCTGCTGTTCCGTCTGCCTGTATTCTCTTCCTCTGTCAAATAAGTATGTACTTGACACAGACCACAAGCAGAGAGAGAGCCGTGGAGCAGAGAGCCTGACGCGGGGCCCGATCCCTGGATCCTGGGATCATCACCTGAGCTGAAGGCAGAGGCTTCAACCCACTGAGCCACCCAGGCGCCCCTAAATAAATCTTTAAAAAAAAAAAAACAACACAAGAGAAACAAGCTTTCGAGTCCTGAAAAGGGTTGCCTGAGATCCTTCACCCCTAACTGTAAGAGCGTATCTGTGAAGTAAACTCAGGAAAGCAGACTTGCACGCGTACCAGTGAGCGTGCAACACGCCCGGCTGGCTGAGTCCTGGGCAAGAGGCCTCATGCAGCCCTCGCTGCCCTTGGCATTAATCTGGCTCCGCGGCGGGCTAGGCCCTGGCTGCCGGATTGGGGGCAGTGGTCGGGGCCTCTCGGTACCGGGAGTCTCGGACCTGGAGGCCTTTGTCGACGACGGCCGAGCGGCCAGTGAGCCCTCAGAGTGTCGCCGAGCCCGTCCCGCTTGCTGCTGGAGCCCGGGCGTGGAACGGACAGCTGCCTGACCGCAGCGGCTCTGTGATTTCAGACAGGCTGACGGCCGCAAGGTCCTGCGGTCGAGCATCCGCGAGTTCCTGTGCAGCGAAGCTATGTTCCACCTGGGCATCCCCACCACACGGGCCGGGGCCTGCGTCACGTCCCAGTCCACGGTCGCCCGAGACGTGTTCTACGACGGCAATCCCAAGTACGAGAAGTGCACAGTCGTGCTGCGCATAGCTTCCACTTTCCTGAGGTAATACTGCTGCCCTCCCGCTGGCGGGTGCACAGTCCCGTGCAGGAAGTGACCTGCGAGGGACACACCCGTCCCCCGGCTGGGCTCCTGCTGCGGGGGAGGCGGGGTGCAAAAGGCACCGGGCGTTTCCTGGGTCGGGAGCCCTGTCCTGCGTGTTGGTGGCTGCTCGGGCCCCCGTTGCCCCCAGGAGGGAGGAGGTGGCAGAGAGGCGGCCCGTGTCCCTGGAGCGTGGCTGGCCTGAGCGGGGCGCCCTGCAGCACCGGTGAAGGGGGATGGTCTCAGGCTGGCAAAAGAGGGGCTGCCCAGATGCGGGGCTCTGGGACCCAGAAGGACACGAAAGTCACCCAGAAAGTGGCCTTGTTCTGTGTCACGTGCCACACCTGCTGTGCCCCCGTCCGCCGGGGCCGTTGTTGCTCACACCCCCGTCATGAGCCGCAGTCCTTTCTGCCTCCTCCCTGATGTCACCGTGCCACGTGGCATCACACCGGTTCTGACCACCGGAACCCACGGCTGTCGGCGAATGGCTCGGACGTCTTCTGGTCTCCTCCGGTGGAGCCGGACGGACCCTGTGTGCTGGGGGCCATTCCTGCGGTGCCTGAGTCTGAGCGCCTGGCTTTGTCTTTTGTCCTCCGGGGCCTGGAGGAGCCTGGGTGGCCGTCCGCCTCCCCCCAGGAGACCAGGGCCACTTCCCCGAGGGCCACTCCTGGCAGTCTGACCAGTGAGTGAGCGGAGGTGGGGAGCGCTGCGGGGCCACCCCGTGCCCGCGAACAGTAATGCCGGTCGTTAAAGCCAGAAGTGTCTCCAGACACTGCCTCCCGTCCCCTGGGTGACACGAGGACTCGGTTGTAGAGCTGACCCCACTTGGGACCAGTAGGACGCCAGTCACTGATGCTGTCCTTGGCGTACGGGGACGAGCGCAGAGCCCTGCTGGTCGCAAGCCGGTCGTGCCTCCCTGGGCCTCCCACAGAGGCACACGTTGTGTTGGCCAAAAGCAGAACGGGTCTGCGTGTGTCACTCAAAGACTAGTTATGCTTTTCTTGCTTTTGTTTTAATCTGGGTGTTCTTCCCGGCCTTGGCCGCAAGGCCTAGCAGCAGGCTTCTACCGGTCACTGGGGGCTAGAGCCGTGTTTAACCCGGTACAAACGCGGGTCTTCCCTCCAGGTTCGGATCCTTTGAGATCTTTAAGTCCGCGGATGAGCACACCGGGCGCGAGGGCCCCAGCGTGGGGAGAAACGATATCCGAGCGCAAATGCTCGACTACGTGATCAGCTCGTTTTATCCCGAGATCCAGGAGGCACACGCCGAGGACCGCACGCAGAGGAACGCCGCCTTCTTCCGGGAGGTAGGGGGGGCCACGCACCGGCACCGCTGGCGTCCCGCCTGCTGGTGTGACTCGGTCTGCTTGGCTGACGGACAGAGGTTCTCTCTTGATGTCCTTGCCCTTCTGAGTCCCTCCCCTGTCCCAAAGCCTGTCACCTCTCGTGGGCGTTGAGCAGGACCGACTTCTTGGGAATGCTGCGTGGAGGGTCGGGTTCTTGGACACACCCAAGGATCCCTGTGTCTCAGTGGCATTGGAGGTGCTGTGTGCCCCCGCCAGGCCCAGCGGGGAAACAGGGTGGGGGAGGACCCGCTGCAGGGGAGCCTGGGTGCTGGTGGGACACACAGTCACAGTGGGGCCCCGGGTGTAGCGGCCTGGACCCAGCGCAGGTTTTGCTGGCTCGTGTGGTGCCCTCCCTGTTTGCACCTGGTTATCCTCCTGGGCTGGAGTCGTGGGGATGGTCAAGGCTTCCTGGTGTTTCTGGTTTCATGGATAAAAGCCCAAATTAGTATACGAGAGAGACAGGTGGGGTAAGTGGAAATTGGAGCCCACACGTGTGGGCTCATCCGAAGTGCTCTTCCTTCTCACCCGTGCCCCACGGCTGGGTGTGCGCCCGGAGGGCAGGGCTGAGGGAGGAGTCACTGGCAGCAGAGCGGTCCTCAGGGAGGGAGGGGCGGGACGGGGGCATCGTGCATCCGTCCTGCTTCAGGTGACCCGCCGCACGGCCCGGATGGTGGCAGCGTGGCAGTGTGTGGGCTTCTGCCACGGCGTGCTCAACACGGACAACATGAGCATCGTGGGGCTCACCATCGACTACGGGCCCTTCGGCTTCCTGGACAGGTGAGCCGTGCGGGGCCCTGGGGGTGGCCTGCAGGTGTGGGGCTGCCGTTCTCCCTGTTGTTTGGAAACGCCTGGTCAGCCCTTCCCAGCGGCAGAAATCCCCCGGAAGGTTCCAGGATTGGAAATGGCCCCGGGGGCCCGAGCGGGAGCAGGCAGAGGGCTGCGGGCCAGAGCCAGCCAGGGGAGGCCGTGCCGCTCTGCTGCCGACTGAGCGGGCGGGCGTCTGTGGCTGCGGCACCTGGACCTGAACCGCTCAGACCAGCACCCCAGCGGGGCGGGGGGGCGGTGGCCCCGCAGAGGAGGCCTGCCTCACGCCCCCCCGGGGGTCCCCTCGCCCCATGTGGCAGGTACGACCCCGACCACGTGTGCAACGCCTCGGACAGCGCTGGGCGCTACGCATACAGCAAGCAGCCCGAGGTCTGCAAGTGGAACCTGCAGAAGCTGGCAGAGGCGCTGGAGCCCGAGCTGCCCCGCGAGCAGGGGGAGGCCATCCTGGCTGAGGAGTTCGACGCCGAGTTCCGCTGTCACTACCTGCAGAAGATGCGCAGGAAGCTGGGCCTGGTGCGCACGGAGCTGCCCGACGACGGGGCGCTGGTGGCCAGGCTTCTGGAGACCATGCACCTGACGGGTGAGTGAGGGCCGGTGCCTCGGCGTTTGTCCGTGAACTAGACACAGCACAGAGTCGACTGTTTCAACCGTGCGGTGTGGGGCTTCGGGGGCAGCAGGCCCATCCAGCCCGCTGGGCACCCGTTGCCCCCGCCCATCTCCCCACACAGACACCCGGTCCTCATTTCCTCCGCTTCCCGCGCCCCTGGCAGCCCCATTCCGGCGTCTGTCTCTGAATCTGACTCAACGCGGGGCCCTCGGTGATACGGGCCCATGCAGGGTCTGTCCCGTGACCGCGCCGAGAACAGCGTCCCCAGGGCCCCCGACAGTGTGGTGGGTGTCGGCCTTCTGGGCCTCTCAGGGCTGAGTGAAAGCCCGCGGTGTGGACAGACCACACGTCCCTCCTCCATCATCGCTGGTGCACGTGCCGTGGGATGTCTTCCCCTCGGCCTGCCTGGGTAACGGCACCACGGAGACAGACGTACGGACATCCGTTTGAGTCCCTGCCCTCGGTTCTCCCAGCACCGCGCAAGCAGAAGCGTCCATGTGCGTGTCCCTCCAGCTCTCGGGAGCGCTCTGCCTCCTTCCCCAAACTGTGGCTTTTACGAAATTGAGGACGTGTCCTTCTGTCCTTGTTTGTTTTTACCATTGTGCATGGCTGAGAGGAGCACGTGGCCGTCCTCCTCCCGTCTTAGGTCAAACCGTCACAGGGGAGCACGGCAGCTTGCCCAGCAGGCGCTGATGTCTTGCGGTTCTGGAGGCTGGAGGGCGGAGGTCAGGCTGCTGTGCAGTCGGGTTACTGCTGAGGGCCTCCTTCCCGGGCGGGGGACCGAGAGGGAGCAAGGGCACAGACCCTGTCGGAGGCCACCGCCGTCCTTGCCCAGGTGCTGGTCTGCGGTGTCTGTGCTCTGGTATCCGGGCGACGCTGCTCTCATGAGTTTGGAAATGTTCCCTCCTGTTCCAGAAGCTTGGGAAGAACTGGTGATCACCCCCCACGTTCAGAACTCAGCGGTGAGGCCTCTGGTCCTGCCGTTGTCTTTGCTGGGAGGTTCTGACTGCCCAGTGTCCTCGCTTGTCTCAAGACTTCCCGGATTTTGTGTCTTCTGAGTCTGTTTTGGTAGATGGCGTTTCCGGGGCCTCGGCCGTTTCATCTGTGTGTCGGGCGTATCAGCAAGGAGTCGCCCACTCTTGTACAGCCGTTTCTGCGTGATGGGCAGTCACAGCCCCACTCCCATTTCCGATCTTAGTTACTTGCCTATAACCAAAAATGTCCATCTTCTTGATCTTTTCAAAGAATCAATAACTCTAGGTTTCAGTGACTTTTGCTTCTTTTTTGTTGTTTCGTTTAACTCTGCCGTACCCTGTTCCCTTGCTGTCAGCTAGCCTTCATCTTCGTGTTCTCTTTCTAGTGCCTTAGGTGTAAGGTTAAGTTACTGGCCGAGGCTTTTTTCCCTTTGAGAGGAACCGACCTGGGCCAGTGTCAGGGGTACGTGATTCACTCTGTCGGGGTCACGAAGCCATCGACGTCCGTCACCATACGGCTGCAAGTTACCTTTTCTCCTTGTGCTCTTCCGCCGTCGGTGATCAGCACCGTTAAGTTTCCGTCCGACCGCTGCTTTCGTGGTGACCTGTCGAATTCAGTACTTGTGTTTCCACATTCTCCTGCCCCTAAGTATTTTCTGATTTCCCTCGTGATTTCTTTTTGGACCCCCTGGTTAATCGTCACACTCTGGGAAATCTCTGGTTCTCCTTCTCTTTGTGCGTTCTGTCTTCGTCCCATCGTGGTTGGAGAAGACGCCGGTCTCTTTAAGCAGGTTGACTTGCTTTATGGCTGAACATGCGGTCTGTCCTCGAGAGCGTCCCCCGTGCCCTTGGGAAGACAGATGTCTGTCCGACAGAGGGGCCTGACCGCGTCCAAGGTCTTCGTCGGTCTGCCGTGCGGACGCTCCATCCGTTATCCAGGGTGGGGCACTGAAGCCTCTAGCGCCCAGGGAACCGTTCCACAAGTGCTGGGTTTGTAGGTTTTTAACCGGGACACCTTCTGGGTGAACGGGCTGGCTGACAGCGGCGGGCCAGCCCCGCTCTACAGCTTACGGTCTACGTCTGCCTGCGCTACTTTTCCTGTCCCTTCCCTTTAGACCGGACAAGCTGAAAGTACGGTTTTTTAGTTCGAGCTGCCAATTTCGTTTGGCAACGAATCCACTTAAAGTCCTTGCTGATGAGGACTTTGGTCGTTATCTGTGTCCTCACCATTTTCACCCCTCGTTTTCTCCGCTACGGCTTTCTGTCTGCACCGCCTGGTCCCTTCTCGTTTCCTTTTGTGTCTGTCTCCAGGATGCTCTCCCGGGTTGACAGTGATTGTGTTTAACAAGTCAGGCCGAGGGCCTCCAGCATCTGCTGTATGTTGAGCCTGTGTGTTTGGATGCGTGTCAGGGGCTTGTCCTCGATGCTCTGCCACACCAAGCAGGCAGTGAGGATGGTGACCACAGCGGGGGTGGCCAGAGGCTGACCTCGGTGCCTTTGCCATATTTACCTGATTCATGGATAAAGGAAACAGGGCTTACAGTGACTTGCCAGGCTCAGAGTGGTGGCCAGGCTGGGTGGTGGGTTGGGGGCGGGCATTGCCGAGGCGGAGGCTGGAGGGGTCAGGAGCCCATGGGCCTGGCGAGGCATCCACACTTGGTGTGACAGCACCCTGAGCAGCGGCGTGTTCCAGGGGCCGACTTCACAAATACCTTCTACTTGCTGAGCTCCTTCCCAGTGGGGCCGGAGCCCCTGGGCCTGCCTGCATTCCTGGCCGCGCTCACCGCACAGTGCGCCTCCTTAGAGGAGCTGAAGCTCGCCTTCCGACCCCAGATGGATCCCCGGTGGGTACCCAGGTCTCATTTCCTTGGAATTTGCCTCCAGAAGGAGATGACTGTTAAGAGCAGAGCATGCTGGGGCACCTGGGAGGGGGTGGTCAGGCCCCCATGTCAGCAGCGCTGAGGCCCACTGGTCAGAGGAAAGGACAGCAGTGCTGTCACCACTGGGGGAGGCCAGTGGCACAGGCCAGGGAGCAGCTTCCCAGAATGGCTCTCTAGTCTGCCCAGGAAGAGCCCCAGGGCCCTCAGGTCGCAGCCAGACCAGGCTTTTCTGCGCCGTCTCCCACCGGGAAGAGCAAATGGCACCTGAGCCTGCACTCAGTAGGACGTGGGAAGCGCAGTCTCTGCGTTTTGATAAACAAGACAGCAGCCCGTGGTGTGAGAGAATTTAGTGCAGCAGTGCGGTGAGGACAGGCTAGCAGGACCGGGGAAGGGGGATTGGCCTTGCCCCCCCGCCCCCGGCCCTTCTGCGAGTGGGGAAGGACCCAGCCTTGGGGCCGCTGTGGAGAAGTGGACAGCAGTGACCACCCCCGTCCAGCGATAAGCAGGTGCCCCATGCACCCTGGGGGCCTGCAAGTCAGCCTGCGACACTTCCCCTCGGGGCACCCACGTCCCGTGACCTGCAAGGGCTGGAGAGTGGGGGTGGACGGCTGCCTCGTCCATGGGGCCGGGGTCACCCCCCCCCCCAGGGCAGTCAGCAGCAGCCCTGCAGAGCTGCTAAAGCCACTGCCTCCCCTGGGCCCCGATGGCCGTCTTCCAGGTGCCCAGTGGCCTCAGGACACAGCTTGCGGCCAGGGGCAGGGCCAGGCCTCATGCTGCCCCTCTGCACAGGCAGCTCTCCATGATGCTGATGCTGGCACAGTCCAACCCTCAGCTGTTTGCGCTCATGGGCACGCGGGCGAGCGTCACGGAGGAGCTGGAGCGCATGGAGCAGCAGTCGCGGCTGCAGCAGCTGAGCCCGGCGGAGCTGCTGAGCAAGAACAGGGCCCACTGGACCGACTGGCTCCAGGAGTACGGGTGAGGCTGTGGGGGCCGGGCGCCAGCGACCCCCGCGCGGGGAACCAAACGAAGGAGGGGCGGTGGGGGGGATCCACTGGAAAGATGAACCTGGATGATTCCAGAGCCCGGCTGGAGAAGGACAGGGAGGGCGTGAGCGACCCGGACGCCTGGCAGGCCGAGCGCATGCGCGTCATGCACGCCAACAACCCCAAGTACGTCCTGCGGAACTACATCGCCCAGAACGCCATCGAGGCCGCGGAGAACGGAGACTTCTCAGAGGCAAGCGCACACCCTCCATGCTCGGGTCCCACAGCAGGCGGTGGCCCCCGGGAGCGAGGGGCAGTCCCTAAAACTCCTCTCCTTGCTCTTCTCCAGGTGCGGCGGGTGCTGAAGCTTCTGGAAACCCCGTACCACAGGGACGGGGAGCCCACCGAGGCCCCGGGGGCCGCCGGGGCACACAGCGGCGGGAACTCCTACAGCAGCAAGCCCCCGCTGTGGGCGGCCGAACTGTGCGTGACGTGATCCTCGTAAGGGCCTCGGAGGCCTCCACACGCGGAGTCCCGAGGCCCCGAGCCCCACCGAGTCCTTGAGGCGGCGCACACCCCGTGGCACCCCAGCCCGTCTCTCCATGACGGCCGAGACGTCCAGTCAGGACCTGACCCGTCTCTGTCTGACGCAGACTCAGCAGCCCAGCCCCTGCTCGGTGCGCTCCCTATCTACGCCGCTTCGCGCAAGGACAGGAGCTCAGCGGAGGGAAGCGGCCGGCGGGGGGAGGGGCGGAGCAGCCCCAGCCCACCTCGCTGGCCTTAGGCCACTCAACCACAGGCCACGGCGTGGCTCCTGCCTACTGGGGAGACACAGCCCCCAAATAAACCAGCAGCTTCCCTGGCACATCTCTTGGTGGCTCTGCCCCTGGCCCGGCCGCCTGGGGAAGAGGTGCTGGGGCGGGGGGGCTGGGGGGTGTGGGGGGGGGGGGGGGGGGGCCGGAACACACCTGTGTCGCGCAGCCTCAGGCGTCCTGATAGTAGTTGTTGAAGTTGATGCGCAGCAGGAAGTCCTCCAGGTGGGGCTGGTAGCCTCGGTTCACCAGCTTGGTCACCACTGGGGGGACCGGGAGCAGCTCAGCCAGGCCCGGCACCGGGCTCCTGCCCCGCTGTCCCCAAGCCCTCCTGGCCCTGGGGGACAGTCACCTTTAAAGAGGAAGTGGGAGTAGTACTTAAAGGTGCTGTAGGACTGCTGCATGAGGGCGAAGTTGGGGTGCTCCGCGCCCCGGGGGCCGCCGGCGGGGACCCAGGGCTGGGAGATGAGCTGGCTGCGAAACTTGAGCACGAGGCTGAAGATGCTGTGGATGACGTTCATGACCGGCGCGGCCTTCTCGGTCAGCAGGCCCCTGCGGAAGTGCGTGGCCGCGGGTGAGGGGCGCCCGGGCCCCGGACGCGCACGCGCAGAGGTGCCCCGGGCGCCCGGCTCACCGGAACACGGCCTTGTGCAGGTACTCGGCGTGCGCGCGCTGGATGTCCTCCAGGTCGCCCACCTGCGCCAGCCGCGCCCGGAACTCGCACCAGGTGACGTGCAGGATCTGGTTGGCGATGTAGCCCTGCGTGACCTTGACAAAGTGCTGCATCTCGTGCTTGAAGAGCTGCAGCTGGCGGAACTGCACGGAGCCGGCCGCGCGGCTCACCAGAGCTGGGGGGGTGGGGCCGGGGTCAGGCGTGCACGCGCGGGGCTCACCAGAGCTGGGGGGGGCGGGGTCAGGCGTGCACGCGCGGGGCTCACCAGAGCTGGGGGGGCGGGGTCAGGCGTGCACGCGCGGGGCTCACCAGAGCTGGGGGGGGGGGGGGCGGGGTCAGGCGTGCAAGCAAAACCCAGGACGAGCCGAGCCGGGCTCGGGCCGCCCTCACCTGCGCGCTTCAAGTGGAAGCAGACGTCCTTGAGCGTCCACATCATGAGCTTGAGCTGCAGCAGGAAGGAGAAGATGCCGCTGTACCTGCTCAGGCAGCCCTCGGTGAGCACCACGTTCAGGGGCCAGTCGACCTGCGGGCGGAGCCATTTCAGCACACCCCTGTGGGGACTCCCCCCCGCCCCCCGCCACCGCCACTCAGCCAGGCCCTGCTGACCTTGTACCTGAGCTCCAGGCAGCTCAGCACGTCGGGCGCATTGGGGGCAAAGGCCTCGGGCAGGAACTTGAGGGCGAAGGAGAGGTTGGCGGCGTGCGGCGTGTCGCCGTGCAGGCTGTACCGCAGGGCCTTGCTGAGCACGGAGTTGAGCACCAGCGGGTTGAGCAGCTCCCCAGGCGTCTGGCCCGCCCCCAGCTGAGGCAGGAGAGGGCACAGGCGTCCCAAGGGAGTCCTGGCACCGGGGCCGGCAGCCATGCCCGCGCCGCGCCCCACGGTTACCTTCTCAAAGAGCAGGTCGCTGAGCGACTGTGCGAACTCGCCGTCCTCCATAAGCAGGAAATGGCGCAGCGCCTCGAAGTGCGCCTCCAGCTGCAGCTCCACGAAGAAGTAGTCCACGGCGGCCTTGTTCACCAACGAGATGCTGGCCGGAGGGGGTCAGGGTCAGGGGCAGTGGGGCGCAGGGCGGACAGGGAGGGCAGGGCAGGGGTGGGCACTCACTGCGCTGCCAGCGGGGCGCTGATGGAGTGCTTCATGAGCACGGGCAGCGGCAGGAGCTCGCTCAGCTGCACCGCGGTCTCGTCTGCGTCCGATGGGACGCGGGGGTCCTCTGGGAGGGCAAAGGCCTGGGGAAGCCCATGGTGTAGCAGGCGGGCAACAGGAGGCTCTGCTATAGGACGGCAGATGACTGTTCAGTACAGGGGACACGCTGGGCTTCCGCCTGCCCGCGTGCCCGCCACAGCGACCGGCCACTCACACATGGCCTCGTAGCTGTCCGGGTACTGCTCCAGCCCGTACTGCTCTGCCAGACCCGCTAGGTAGGCCTGCTCCTGGCCCCAGCGCTGGGCCGCGGCCACCTCCTCACCAAGGCCGGGGCTGCTCTGGGCCGCCACGTCATCCTAGGAAGGAAAGGGACAGTGGGATCCCCTACGTGCAGCCCCATCCTGGCAGGCCAGACCCCTAACCCCATCTGTCCTCACCTGTGAGCTTGGAGGGTGACTTGGAGAGAGGTCCTCCGTGTCCCTACTCGGTCCCGGTCCTAAGCAACACAAGTGGGGCAGGAGTATGAGGGCCAAATGCTCCTCCATAGTGGGACCTCCCAAGTCCCCAGGGCTGCAGACTCCCTGCCCAAACCCCTCCGGGGCCCACAGATGCCACCAGTGATAGGAGAGCTGTAGGGGTCCCACTGACCTGGCTCTTCAGGGATACCATCACCCAGGTCCCCAGATGCAGCCACTGCAGACGGCGAAGCCTGGAGGCCATGTGGCTCCCCACCACTGGAACCAGCCGTCTCTGCAGGCAGTCGTGGCTCGTGCTCACAGACAGGACTCTGTGCTCCCAGACTGAGGCCCGACCGGAACACCTGGTCAGTGAGGCTCTGGCAGGGCCTGGGCATATCAGGCTGGCCTTCCCCAGAGAGTACACTCAGCGCCACGTGGGACTGAGACACGTGTCCGTGGACATTCCACCGCGGTCGGGAGGGGGCCACATCCCACACGTTCTCCCCCACCTTGATGCTGGCGTCAGACACGTGTCCGTGGACATTCCACCGCGGTCTGGAGGGGGCCACATCCCACACGTTCTCCCCCACCTTGATGCTGGCGTCAGACACGTGTCCGTGGACGTTCCACCGTGGTCGAGAGGGGGCCATCCCAGAAGTACAGCCGCCTTTGGGAATGCTGCCCTCTGACACATGCTCAAGGAGCTGCCCCATGGCCTGACTGCTCCCTTCCTGGGGGACGGTGTGCCCAGTATGGTGGGGGTGAGGCAGAGCCACGTGCCTATCTGGGACACCTGTGTCCTCTGGCTGTGTGACACTGTCCCGCCACAGCTGCTGCCCCTCATTGCTCGAGCCAACTCCTACAGTCTGCAGGGATCCTGGGGAAGCCAAGGGGGCCACAGCGGGCCTCAGGATGGTTCTGAAATCATACTCCTGTGGCCCAGCAGGCCCTGTGGCCACCACATCGGATGGAGCTGAGGGAGGCGGGTCGGAGCCGATGGTTTGTAACGCCTCCTCCAGGACAGGGGCCACGCCAGCATGCGCAGGCAGCTCAGCCTCCCGGGCTCTGGGCAGGAAGTCTTGGATGCTGAGGCCCTCGGAGAACGGCCCTGGCCCGGCCCCCGGCCCCGGCTGCGGCTCAGCTCCCGGCCCCGAGCCGCAGGCCCCTGCAGCTGGCGGCCTGACTTGCTCCGGCATCCCCGTGTTCGGGCAGTCCCAGGCAGCCACATGCCGCGGCTCTGCACACCCGGAGTCGGAGCTGCTGCCACTGGCGGGGTGCTCACGGCCCAAAGACAAAGTCTGAAACACAAGTGGGTGTCAGTCTCCCAAGCTCGGTTCTGCAACCAGCACCAAAGCTCATGGAGCCGGGAACTGTTGGAAGAGACCAGTGCAGATGTGAGGCATCCAGTTCCCAACCCCATGCTCTGTGCCCGAGCCCTGCCCCCTGCTCCTCACCTGGGAGCCAGCAACAGGGAGGACGGCCAGTGGCTCCAGGGCCTTCCCCTCGGACACGTCCTTCAGCATCCCCTGAAACGTAGCAAACAGTGGTGAGCACCTACCCTGCACCATCCAACCCAAAGCCTCGGCACCCAACACACAGAAGCCACGGCTCCCAACTGCCCAAACGGGTCGAGACGAGAAGAGCCTGGGCCTACAGAGAGCACCCTGCGCTGCCCGCCGTCCGGCGCCGGCACGGCCTCCTCCCAGTCCCGACATCCCTGGGCAGAGTTGCCAACCCTTTCCCAGAACCCAGGTCCGCATGCACTCAGGGGCTCCGAGACCGCCGAAGCCCAGGGAAGAGCTCCCGTGCGAAAGCAGCGATACCTGAATGTGCTCCTGATCCTCCACGAGGAAACGAAGCCGCGCGCTTGCCAGCCGGCGCCTCTGGATCTTCCACAGTGCCTTCTGCTCTCGGCGAGCGGCTTCTGCCGACAACTTGCTATAATGGTCAACCAGCGCCTGCCTAAAGCCACACCCAGAGAGACCCAGCTGCCACGGTCGCCCGACACTGTCCAGCTGGTACCCCACGGGCGGGTGGCTCTCCACGGCAGAGGCCCTCGGCACCTTCCCAGGCCAGCAGCTGGTCCCCGGTGGGGCCCCCTACTGCACCTGCAGGGGCCTCACTGGGCAGGTGTTTCTGCCCACCAGACCAGGACCCCAGAGGACAGGTGCCTAGCCCGGGCTCAGCTGACATCTGCTGAGCAAACACCAGAATGAGCCGCTACACGGTCGGAAGCAAGAGGAGCAGGAGGCCCAGGGCTGCCAGGCCCCCCGTACGAGAGGTACCTTCCTATTCTGCTGAACTAAAGACAAGTGCCCAAGGGTACAGAGAGCATAAGGCAAACGCCGCATCTGCTTCCCTGGCAGCTCTCCCCGCACGTTACTCCCGGCGATTCTGGTCCCTTCACCAGCAGGGAACGGGGTCAGACCTGGACTGGCTCATTCCCACTCGGATGCCCCAGACCAGGGACATGGCCCTACACTTTGCTGTCTCCCATCGGCGACAGAAGAACACCCACCCCACACACACAGAGGCGCACAGGTGCCCAGATGCACACACACGACACGTGCTCCGTGAACAGTATTTACGGTCAGGACGACTGTGGTCCTGAGAGAAGAGGCAGGAAGAGACAGCCCCCCACAAAGGTGCCCCTGGGAGAGGCCGGCTCTGCTGCCGGGTTACAGGAGACGCAAGGGAGGACAGGGCAAGCTAAAGGCACCATGAGACAGCCTCCTGGACACTGGGCTGGACAAATGCCCCGTCCATCTAGCGTCAGGCTCACCACAGGCTTAAAAATAAGAAAAGGGACAGGAGTTGTTGAACTTGAAAAAAAACAAGAGACAGGCAAGTAGGAGAGACAGACCCACCGTGCGTGCCCTGTCTGGGCTCCAGTCCGCACTAACCCACCGCGAAGAGACGCGTGGAGGACAGGGGAGCACACTGAGCGTGGCGGAGGTGCCCTCAGCCCTCAGCCCAGGCGCACGCGGGAGCTCGGACCCACTCTTCACACACACGTGAGAATCTTCAAGATGCAAAGACGACCCTCACGAGATCATGCCAGGACAGCCCAGTGGCCGCCTCACCCTCGACCGCCTACCTCGCCTTCCTCTCCAGCTGCTCCTCCAGGGCCATCAGCCGCCTCTCCCTGTCGCGGAGCTCTCGCGCTCGGCCGGCGTCGTCATCCAGGGCCTCCTGCCGGGCTGCACGGCGCCGCTGCACGAGGCACCACACGCGGCCCCGTGGGTCAGAGCTGGACCCCAAGGGCCCCCGCCCCCTGGCGCCCCTGCACGAGGCACCACACGCGGCCCCGCGGGCCCCAACCCCCGGCAGCCACACCGCCTACCTCCTGGTCCTGCACAAACTGCTCCTTCAGCCTCTGAAACTGCTCTCGCTTCTGGGCGTCCAAGGCCATGCGTTCCGAGGTCTGCCGATCTGTGTGGAGATGAGGGGTGCGGCGTGGTGAGGTGCCTGCGCAGGTAGCCCCAGAGCCGCAGAGGGTGACCCAAGCTGCACGCACCACTGAGCGCTCGCAGGACTCTGGACGCTGCTTCCCGAGCCTGGACAATCAATTCTTGCTTTGCAATTTCCATTCGTAATTCCTAAAAAAGACCATCTATCAACACATCCAAATTCTCTGTCCCCCCCTCTAGGACGGCCTCAGAGCAGGGGCTGCTCAGACCCCACGCAGGCCCCTCCAGGGGCAGCACCCTGGCTCCACAAGCCTCGGCAGTCAACACGCCCCCCCCCACCGCCCCGAGCAATCTGGGCCGGGACCCCAGGCCTGCGCGCACCAACCCGGAGGAGAGCAGGAGCTCGCGGCGGGCTTCTCCACAGGGATGGAGGACCAGGCCCTCCCTGCCTCCACCCCTCCTTGTTCTTGTTCTCAGGTTTCCCCCGGGGGGCCAGGCCAGAAACGGCCTCCCATCAAACCCCTCCCTGGGCACGCAAAACACTCGAAGCTCAGGTCCTGGTCCACCAGCCAGCCCCTTCCGAGCAGGAGAGGAGCTCAGAGGCCTCCGAGCGTGGGAACCTCTGGTCCTCCAGCCCAGGACGGGGCCTGTCTACCACCCAGCCAGCCCCAGAGAGGAAAGGACAGCCCCTGCCCGGGTGTCCCCCACCCAGATAACCCTACCCAGACACAGAACACCAGGGGCAGCCTCCCCATCAGCCCGAGACCCTCAGAGGGGAGGGAGGTCCCACAGCGCGCAGCACCTTCTCCTCCTTGCTGATGCAGCTGTGGCGTGCCACCCTCTCCATCCGCCCCACGTAGATGGCACAGTCCCTCTCGACCTCCTTCAACTCCTCAGGGGAGAAAATCACCGAGATCCGAGGCACGGGGACATCAGACCAGCAGAGGTAGTGCTACAAAGAGGGAAAAGCGGACGTGAGCCATGCAGACCCATGCCCAGCTCTGCCTCTGTTCCTGGTGGCCTGTGGGGATAGCTCCCTTTCTCAGAAACGTTCATTCACCCGAGGGGCACGGCTCCAGGACACTCCAGATGGGCTGTGTGTGGTCTCGGCCCAGGCCATGGCTGCCTCCCACCAATGACCCTCCAGAAGCCATGAAGACCTCTTCTCGGCTTGCCTCACTGGAGGAGTGTGGGCTACAGGCTTGCGCACAGGCCTTGAGCTCAGCCCAGACAGAACAGACCCCATCCCACAGCCAGCCACCCCCAAGACCCGCTCCCTCCCCAGGGAGCCCCGGCCTGTGCACTCCCCAGCATCTGCCCCTCCCCTTGTCCTGGCAGCTTTGGTCTATTCTCAGCCCAGCACAGGGAGACCCCATGAGCCACAGGCCTCCTCCCAGCCCCATCCTGGGCAACCCACCTGCACCCCACTCCACAGCTCTTCGCCCCATGGACGACACGTGGGCCGCTGCCAGGCCTCCTCTTTGGAGCCTGGCAAACCCTTCTCCCCCAACCCACTAAGCCATGAAGACAGGACTCCCCAAACCAGGTCCACCCTCCTGGGGATGTGGCCCATCACTGTCCCACTGGGGCAGTTTCCTGCATGGAGAAAGGAGGGAAGGAGGGAAGGAGCCCACCACCCCTTGGCCTCCGAAATGCCTTTGCTTCTCATCCTGTCTCTGCACAAGCTCCCAGAGACTCAACGAAGCTGCTTGTGACACTCAGGGGAAAATGAGAGCTGACCACAAACTGCAGACACCAAGGGACAGGAGGGTGGGCCCCCTCACCCGGGGGCAGCAGACTTTCAGCAAGTTGATGGTCTTCCCGCAGACGTACACATCATGGGCAATGTGCTTCAAGAACACGGGGACGCAGTCCTCCACCTCTTTGGAAATGAGCACGTAGCCATGGGTCCAGTAAAACTTATCTGAATTGGGGACAGGACACACGGCCGGCCCGAGTTGAGCAGTGGCCCTGAGCCACATGATGGCAGAGGCCCAGCCCAGCCACCAGCAGCCGCCTACCTCTGAAGCCCAAGTACTCGTGGTTCACCTGGATCATGAACTCGCCGCAGACATCTCTGAAGACGCCGCTGTACACCCAGTCGTGGATGAACCTGCCACAGCGGATGGGCCCACAGTGAAGGGTCATGGCGGCCACATGTGTATTCTGACCGAGGCCACAGCCGAACCCCCTCCTGCTCTGCCTCCCCACGCAGTTCTCCCCCCTCCTCCCACACAATCTCCACCATTAGCAGGTGTGCAACAACAGACTGCTGTTGTACATCTGCGGTGGGCACGCGGTCTGCGTGGGGTACGCGGTCTGCGCGGGGTACGCGGTCTGCGCGGGGTTCGCGGCCTGCATGGGGTATGCGGGGTGCACAGGGTACACGGTCTGCGGTGGGTGCACGGTGTGCTCAGGGTTCGCAGTTTACGCAGGGTTCACGGTCTGCACAGGGCACATGGTCTGCATGAGGTAGGCAGTCTGCGTGGGGTATGTGGGGTGCACAGGGTACACAGTCTGCACGGGGTTCGCAGTCTGCTCAGGGTTCATGGTGTGCGTGGGGTACGCGGTCTGCGTGGGGTATGCGGGGTGCACGGGGTACACTGCGCGGGGTTCATGGGGTGCATGGGGTACACGGTCTCCGCGGGGTGCATGGGGTACATGGTCTGCACAGGTTCGCGGTCTGCTCAGGGTTCGCGGTCCGCGCGGGGTCCGTGCGGTGCGCGGAGTACACGGTCTGCACGGCGGGGGACTGCGGGTTCGCGGTCCGCGCGGGCCCCACCTCGTGTAGGGCTCGCAGCTGGTCTTCAGCAGGGACAGCAGCACGGGGTAGTGCTCGTTGCTGCAATTGTCCAGAGCTTCCTGGTACAGGCAGGAGAGTAGCTTCACCCCCTGGAGACAACAAGGGGAGGTTCAGGGCGCTCACCACATGCCCCGACACCCAGCAGCAGCCCCTCCACCCGGCCGCCCCTTGGGAAGAACCAGAACTCACGGTGGGGAAGGCGGCCTTGGGTTCCCCGCCACCGCTACCTGGGAGCGCAGCGCCCACGCCACAGAGCTCGGCCAGGTACCTAGATGCAGAGGGCGCCTGAAACCAGGTGGGCAGACGCACCTCCAGGTCCAGGGACACTGGAGCAGGATGTCCCTCAGGCCCATCTCTGCCTGCCTTTACAGAGTACAGGGACTCCAGACCAGAGCCTCCTGCCTGGCCCCTCCCTGCACACCCCGTGCACCCCCACCCCCTTCTCAGGCTCGGACACTCAGAGCCACCTGAGTCTGTGACCCTTCCCCTGCATCTGTCGCACCCCACCGCGTCCCGCCCAGTGACATCTCCTCTCACTCGCTGACTGGGCAGACCCTCCCCAGACCCCTCGGCCTCCGCCCTGCTGCAGTCCACGTCCACAAGACAGCACTGTGCGCCTGCCCCGCCAACCCCCTGCACCCCACCGCTAGCCCCTCTGCCCGTGAGGTGTCCCCTCCCACTGAACTACCCTCCCCAGCACCCCCAGGCCCCATGCTCCCTTCTCCCAAGGGCACCCACCACACCACTCCACCCGCTGTTTACCCACTGGCCCGTGAGCGCCAGGAGCCAGGACTGTGGGGACCCTGGGTGCCTTTCAGGCAGGAGCCCCCAACCCCAGACAGGGCCTGCCACAGGGGGCCACCAACAGATACTCCGCACACAGCACCCGGGGAGCCCGTCGGGGGCAAGGGCCCCTGTTCCCACCAGCCCTTCGCAGCCCAGCAAGCCCTACAACGGCCAGGGCTCACCTGAGCTGCCGCCCCAGTTTCTTGAAGAGAAAGCCAATGGTGAGGAGGCTCAGGGTGGGTGGGGTGGAGAGGACGCAGGCCCGATAGTACTGCAGGTACCTCCTCAGGCCGCTGGTGAAGGCCTGCAGGGAGAGGGGGCTGGGGGCAGGGTGGCCGCGCACGGGGATGCCGCTGCGGCATGCGGAATTCGGAGGACACCACTGGAGTGGGAGGAAAAGCCTTGGCTCCCATCCCCCGGCCCTGGGGCTCCATCATCTGCGGAACGGCCATCTCCGAGTCGTGCCCAGGGATCCCCGCCCAGCTGGAAGCAAGGACCCTTCACGAAATCCCAGGGCCCAGACCAGCTACACCAGGAAACTTGGAATTGTGGGTCCCGGGGGAGTTCTGAACCACCGGGGTCTCGACCACACGTGCGTCCGGGGCTGCATCCACAGCCACGGGGCCCTAGCTCAGCCTCCATCTCCACAGGAGGTCTACACGGAAGGCTCCAGAACAAAAGTCAGTTCACCCACCAACCGTGTCCCCCAACCCACACGGCGGTCCCCGGCGGTCCCTCCCATCTTCGCCGGTCCCCTCCTTGCCTCCACCAGCCGCCCTGTGCCGTCTCACACCTGAACCTCATCCAGTCAGCCAAAGGCAATACCACTGGGCCCCAAAGTGAAGGGACCCAAAGTACCCCCGCTGGGCCCCAGCACCTTGTCTCCTCTGCTCAGCCTCCCTGCTGCTGTTTTCTCTGTTCTCCCAAAGCTCCTGCCCCGTCTGGAAACCTGTCCCTCCCAGCAGCCCACACCTGCTGTCCCGGGGTTGGGGGTGCTCTACCCAGCATATGGGCCGACTGCAAGGTTCTCCAGAAGAGATGGCTCAGCCCCAGGGCCTAGAACCCGTGTCCTAAATAAGGGAGGACACGGTGCGACTCCCTGAGGGCCGAGCGGGAAGCAGGCAGTGCACACCCACCCCGTACTGCGCCGGCCCCGAATGCCGGCTGCACCTCTGTCCCACGGCCTAAACACGGGCTCCCCAGGTCTGCAGGTAAGTGACACGGGCTAAAACATCATCCCGGGGGACCCCGTTCCCAAAGAGTGACTGTCAGCTTTTAGACGTTGCTAAGGAAACAAAAGGTGGTCCTGGGGTAGAATTCTGAGGTTCCCGGGAAGGTCTGGGACAGCCACAAGGTGGAGGGCCACACCTGGAACACGAGGCCCTTGCCGCACGAGGAGTCCAGCACAGGCTGCAGAGAGAACTGGCTCAGACGTGCGTAGTGCGTCCCACACTCGGCCACCTCGGAGAGGAGGCTGCTGACGCTCTCGGGAGAGGCTCCGGACACATGGACACCTCGCTTCACCATGAAGGTCTGGGCCGGCTGGACAGGGCAGAACAGAGGCTGAGTCAGGCACCCAGAGCCCAACATGGTATCGCTGCCCCCCTCCACCCCCTCAGCACGGCGCAGTGTCCCCAAAACCACGACGCACAGACATGAAGCACAGAGAGCGGAGAGCAGACGGCCACCAGGCAGAGCCCGGCCGTCCCCCACTCAGCAACAGAAGCTACGCCTGCAGAAACAAGGCAGGATGTCTCACGGACCACACTGCAGAGTGCACGTCGGAACGTGACGCCGACTGCGGGTGAGGGCGCAGGGGGACACACCGCCTCCCGTGCGGCACAGCCGTGCACGCAGAACACCTGCGGCGTAGGCACCGGATCTGGTCGCTCGGCTCGCAGGGGCACCACAGGGCACCCCAAGGCAGTAACACACGGCTGCGGCCGAGCCGGGCAGGCCGATGGACAAGCCCCAGACGTCTCAGCCAACGCAGCTCTAGCCACAGGCTCCAACAGACACAACACCTCCCAACACATTAAGATGATAAATGTTCTGGGGCGCCTGGGTGGCTCAGTGGGTTGAAGCCTCTGCCTTTGGCTCGGGTCATGGTCCCGGGGTCCTGGGATCGAGCCCCACATCGGGCTCTCTGCTCAGTGGGGAGCCTGCTTCCCCTGCCCCTCTGCCTGCTTCTCTGTCTACTTGTGATCTCGCTCTCTGTCAAAGAAAGAAAGAAAACCTTAAATTAAAAAAAAAAAAAAGAAAGGAAGAAGCAGCGGACATCTGCCATGACCTGGGGAGGCCCTGAGGACGCGGTGCTAAGTGAAACCAGCCAGACACAGAAGGACAAGTCCTGTCTGGCCCCACTTCCTGGAGGCACCCGCAGTGGTCAGACTCAGAGCAGACGGCGGGGCTGGGGATGGGGCTGCAGGGGGAGAGTATGTGATGGGGACAGAGTTTGGGAAGTTCAGGTTGGGAAGATGATGATCACACAACACTGGGAATGTAGCCAATGCCACTGAACAGCATACTTGTGGTTTAAAAAAAAAACGTGGGGGGCCCCTGAGTGGTGCTGACAGTCAGGCGTCTGACTCCCAGTGTCAGCTCAGGTCCTAATCTCAGGATCGTGAGCTCGGGCTCACGATGGGCTCGGCGCTCGGTGAGGAGTCATTCCCTCGACCTGCCCCTCGCCCCGCGCTCACAAGCACACACACACGTGCACTCTCTCTCAAAATGAATAAATCTTACCCAAAAAAAAGTTATTAAGATGGTAAATTTTCTCTTATGTGTCTTTTACTGAAACTGAAAAAAAAAGGAGGGGGATTGCTTCCACAGTAAGGTCATTTGTACAAGGCCTCGAAACGGCATTCTAGAAAATCTCCAGAGGGTGGCCCTCACCCCAGCAGCCCCGTCAGTCACCTGAGGGGTCAGCGGGACCTCTTGTCTCCGGGGCAACCCCCAGGACGCACACTGAGCACATACTCAAGTTCAAGAACAGCCACTTTGTAACGACGCTTAAGATCCGGAGAGACGCTGCTGACCCGAGAGAAGGCCGCAGAGTGCGCAGGAAAGGCTTTGTGCTCGTGCATACATTTGTTCACTTCATGAGAGCCCGCCAAGGGGCAAACGGTAGAAAAACGGCTGCTGCTGCTCAGAATGAGCCCAGTCCCGCCCACCGGCCAGCAGAGAAGCCCACGGCACTGAGTAAAGCCAGCGACCGTGTCCAAACCGCGGGCCCCCTTCCTGCACGGCAGGTGCTCCCCGGGGCCGAGTGCACGTCCCGCCAAGCACAGGGAAGGCTCAGAGGGCCGCTCGGGGCCTCTTGAGGACGGCCAGGGAAACAGGGAGCACATTTCCATGGTTCCACCAATAGCAAAAAACATCTCACTTTTGTTCAGTTCTGGAAGGATGTTCATAAACGAGTACTTTCTAGAACTGAAACGAGAAGACCGTGGCCATGTCCTCCAGGCAGGCCGTGGAGCCAGCTTCCCCGGCGACCTGTGACGTCCTCCCCCGGCCCACCGCTGAGGCTGGCATCCAGCCGCCCACTTACTGCACCGGGCTGCCGTCTGCCCCGCAGTGCCCAGCTGACGGCAGGCTGTCAAACGGAGACGGGGCTGTCCCCGCACGCCAGCGCTTGCTCACCTGGCAGAGGGAAAACGTGGCCGACGCGACCCCGATGAGGACATTCAGTGCATCCTTCACCAGCTCGCACTCCTTCACCAGGACAAGCGGTGGGGCCTGTAGCAGGCCCCCGCCAAGCACCTGCAGCTCCCCGTGGCGGAGCCTGCAGAACCTGTCGAAGGTGTCCCTTCCGGCCTCGGTGAGGTACGGCTCCTCTCTGTGGCCGGGGGGGCTGTGGGAGACAGAGGAGGGGGCACTGAGCAGACAGAGCAACACAGACACCTCAGCCGCATACAGAGAAGCCCGGGGAGAGAGAGACGAAGACCAGAAGCAGCAGGAAGCGCCCCCGCCTGCCCGGTGCCCAGGGCCACACGCCGGTCCTCAGCATGACGACCACACGGCGTCCACGGCAGCACGATTCACAACAGCCCAAAGGCGGACGCAGCCCAGGTGTCCAAGGACAGACGAGTGGGTGAACAGCACATGGTCTGTCCATAAAGTGGACGATGACTCGGGCCTAGAATGGACACTAACAGCTGCTGAACCTCGAAGACATTACACTAAGTTAAAGAAGCCACAGAGAAAACCGTAGGTGCTAAACAAGCGTGAGGGCAAATCTCATGCTATGTGCACTGGCCGCTCCTGCATTCCGGGACAGCGCCAGGCGGCCAGCAGGGGGAGCTCCCGGTCGGGGCAGCCCCAGCAGGACCGGGCCCAGGAGCAGGTGACTCCCAGCCCCAGCAGCAGCTCCCTCCTGGCCGGGCACAAAGAACAGGAACGGACTGTGAGAGCCCCTGCCGGCCCTCCGGGGATCCTGATGAGCTTTCCTTTATTCAGTTTCAAGAAACAAAAAGTCACACAAATTTTGGGATGTAACATGCCTGCTGGGTCTTGCAGAAGGTGTCTCCCAGCACACGGCAGCCTCTGGGGGCTCTGCCTCACATGGTGCTGTGCTAGGAATTCACAGCCACATCATTCAAAAGCAGCCCAAAAAACCAGTATCACTTTTTCAACATTCCTTTGAAAACCATCAACCCATACTGAAAAACATAAAAGAGCTGTTTTTTAAAATCCACTGAAAAACTAATTTCTTAATAAGGGGAGCTTAGGGAACACAAGCCCTTTTAGAACTTTTCTTCTGGGGCGCCTGGGTGGCTCAGTGGGTTAAGCCTCTGCCTTCAGCTCAGGTCATGATCTCAGGGTCCTGGGATCGAGCCCCGCATCGGGCTCTCTGCTCAGCAGGGAGCCTGCTTCCCTCTCTCTCTTCCTGCTTCTCTGCCTACTTGTGATCTCTATCAAATAAATAAATAAAATCTTTAAAAAAATGAAAAATAAAAAATAAAATAAATAAACTTTTCTTCTCATTTTTAATACCTAACCAGCTCCTTTCCCTTCCTCTGCACAAAACAAAAAACAAAAACCTTATTTTTAGGTCTAGCATGTCCAAAGAGTATCATTTATTCTTCAAAGACAAAAGTCACTTCCTGAAGGGGTAACAGCTCCAAGCTTGAAGACAGTCTAACATCAGGACACACGTCTGACCACCAGCACATCTGTATCCCCATCAGGCATGAGACACAAGATACAAGAACAATACATCTCAGAACCTATTAAACCAAAAATCCTTCTGAGGCTCCTAGGGGATTCACGTGGTAAAGCATCTGCCTTCAGTTCAGGTCATGATCTCGGGGTCCTGGGATCAAACCCCACATTGATCAAGTCCTGCATCAGGCTCCCTGCTCAGCAGGGAGTCTGCTTCTCCGTCTGCTCCTCCCCCTGCTCCTGCTCTCTCTCGCAAACCTTTTTTTTAAGATTTTATTTATTTGAGAGACAGAGAGAGAGAGAAAAGAAACAGGGGGAGCGGGGATTGGGGGGGCAGAGAAGTAGGCTCCCCGCTGAGCAGGGAACCCGATGTGGGGCTCGATCCCGGGCCCCTGCAATCAAGACCTGAGCCGAAGGCAGTCTCTTAACTGACTGAGCCCCCCAGCTGTTCCTCTCTCGCAAATAAATGAAATCTTAAAAAAAAAAAATCAAAACTCCTTTTTTTTTTAAGATTTTATTTATTTATTTGACAGACAGAGATCACAAGTAGGCAGAGAAGCAGGCAGAGAGAGAGGAAGGGAAGCAGGCCCCCCCGCTGAGCAGAGAGCCCGATGTGGGACTCGATCCCAGGACCCTGAGATCATGACCCGAGCCGAAGGCAGCGGCTTAACCCACTGAGCCACCCAGGCGCCCAAAACTCCTTTTTAATTGACAATGCACGTCAATCCTCCTTCCCCTCATTCAGCAAGTATGTGAGTGCAGGGGGAGCGGCAAGGAGGACACACCCAGCCTCACGGAGGAGGTCCCAGGGACCGGACTAACAGGAGGAAGCACCCACTGGGATCCCAGGGCGGGACGGGGCTCCAAGAGGCCCTGCCCTGGGAGCAGCAAGAGGAGGAAAGAGTCAGTTTGAGTGGAGCTGGGGGGACGCGGGGAGGACTTCACGGGAGAATTGGCCCTTGCTCCAGACCCAGGGCAGCCACAAGTGTTGCAGGCAGAGCGACGATGTGCTCGGCTCTCTGGCTCTGGAGGGCAGCACCGACTGTGTGGAGGATGAAGGAGGGGCGGGGGGGACAGACAAGCCAGTTCCAAGGCGTCCAGGTTGGCAAGTGGGCTGCGGCCAGACCACGGACGTCTGCCCTCACTCCCTCGGGAGAGAAAAGCATGAGGAAAGGCCTCTCAGGATCCAAAGTCCTTCTGAGATTCCTCGAGGGAGTTGCTGAGGGCAGGTGTACGCCTCAGGTGCCATCCCATCTCTCACCCCCCAGCTGCTCCGCCCACTCTTCCAGGGTCAACACCAGCACCACTATGGCCACGTGTGCACCCTCTGGGAACAGAGCGAAGGCAGAAAATCCCATGAAGGAAAACACCAAATTCCCCTTGTCCCCCGGGAGAACTCAGCCGTGAACATAATGAAACCAAACGCCCCCCGCCCCCGCAGAATGAGCACAGCCACAGAAAAACGGCAGGAAGGCCAGCAGCAGGGAGGGCAGCCTTCAGACCTACGTGGGTGCTCAGGCTGGAGCAGGAAGAGAGGTCCTCCAGGCTCTCGGAGGACAGTTTACGGTCCTGGGGCTGAGGGCGGACAGGCAGCTCAGGCTGTGGAGGGCAGCAGTCTCCCCAACTGCTCACTAGCCAGAGACCATGGTAGGAAACCAGCAGATGGCTGGCTTTAAACTGAAACAAGTTCAAAGACTTGCCAAATGATCTAGAACAGAAAGCCTCATGGCTCAGGGCCCTGTGGGATCAGGGCTGCACCAGAACAGGCAGAGGATGATGCTTGGGGGAGGGGAGGGGAGGCAAGGACAGAGGTCTGATGAGCAATCCTATCTCCTAAACAGTTACCTGAAAAGCAGGAACTAATGAATGAAATACCACTAAGCAAATATATACAAAAGAAAGTGCTAACTTGTTGGCCCACTTTTGAGATACGTGAGGGGTTAGCGGCAAGTGGGATGGCTAGACTTGCTTTGTGCACACGAGACAGAAAGGTTGCAGGACAGGAAAGACAAGGCAACCTCCACCAGCGGTGCGGAGGGAAGCGGGGAGCTGGCCATCCACTGCGGAGGAACCCACTGCGGGGGGAGGGGGTGTAGATGACCTCGCAAGCAGGAGCGGTGCCTGAACACGATTGGCACTTGTCTACACCCTAGCACGTGTCCTTCCTCAGGAGACCCTGCTGGCCCCCAGACGCTGCTCCAAAGGCACTGTACCCCTGCTAACCCTGCCTCTTCCATCCCGTGCTCCCCAAAGTGGTCTTCCACAGAACTGCCAGCACATGAGATAGGACAAGAGGGTCCCAGGAGCAGATAGTGGGAAATGTGTGTCCTCCAGCCCCAATCTGGGAGCTTCTGAGGGACACCAGTGCTTTATAGACTCCGGGAGTCCTCCGTGCAGAGGCCTCTGGACCCGGATGGGCCCAGGGGAGCACTGCAATGACTGGAACTTGTCCGCCAAAGAGCACCAGTGTCAGTCCTCGATGTGAAGACTGTGCCTGGCCCTGACTGCTCAGCCTGCGGGGCTGCCCTCCACAGCTCCGACTGGGGCCCGACTGGGGGCCCTCACGGTAGCACACCACTCCTTGCCAACGGACTCTCTGATTTGCGGAAGTTACTGGCACCTGCAAGTCCTTCCCCTCAGCATCTCTCTCACCTCCCGGGACCCAGGTCAGGCCACACTCGAGCCTGACTAAAACTTCCCGGCTCTTCATCCCACCATAGCTGATCTACAAACAATGGCCTAAGCTCTCCTGAGTAAAGGCCATGTTCACACCTTGGGGGGGGGGGCGAAGGGCTGCGTTTATGGGCAAAGGCCTACGTACCATCCAACTTGCTCCCAGCACCTCCGCTTGCTGGCCTCGTAGGTGAGCACAGCATCCCACAGGTCCATGTCTGGAGTCATGCCTGGTTCAGACTGGGAGTCAGGAGTCAAATTAGATGCCGACTGGAACCCTTCATCGTCAGACTGATCCACACTCTGAGGAACCTGGAGACCACAGGAGAGAAGGAAACATCACATATGCTTTTGGGTCTAAATTTCACCCAAGTGTGGTCAGAATTCCTGGACTCCCCCCAAGAAACACCCAGCAGAAAGTTTCCTCTACTTTTCCCAAGCACGTAGCTACTACACAATGTTTTCACTCCCACCGAATCATTTAAGGGATCAAGTAAGATGATCAATTTCCAGTTGCATAAGACACATAAAGGCATCAATATAACTTAAAACAGAATTTTTCATGAAATGGTTCTAATGTGAAAATCCATTTTGGGGAACCCAGCACACAAAAATCATAGTAGGGGCACCTGGGGCGTTCAGTCCATTAGGCATCTGCCTAACTCCCCAGGGTCTTGGGATCCAGCCCCATGTCGGGCGCCCTGCTCAGCACGCAGCCTGCTTCTCCCGCTGCCCCCACGCTCGTGCGCGCGCTCTCTCTCAAATAAGTAAATAAATTATTTAAATTCTTTAAAAATTAAAAAAATAAAAAATGAAAAAATCATAGTAAATAGAAAAATTTAGTTTGTTATAGTGAGAATTTTTCATAGTCAGGGAATAAATGAGTAATGATAGCACTGCAATGTTTCAGCAACATTTATAAAGCCACAAAACACAAAGACCCACAGTGATTTACTAAGGTAGGAAATACCCCGTTACAGGTGGAAGAAAGGACACAAAGCGGCGCACGCAGTGCGAGGGTTCCGCTGTGTGTGGCTGCTGAGTACCTGACAGGCGGCTGAGCTTGTTACCCCTTGAAATCAAATATGAACAGCAACCCTGGAGAGCAGAGTAAGTGACCTGTCCACACGCCCCATCCGAAGATGAAAGGCAGCGTGCTGCTCGGGCCTGCAGGTGGGCAGTGGGGTCCTTGCCCACCCAGGTGAAGCCCACTCCAGCAGCCCTGCCTCGCCACAGCTCAGCCACCAAGTGACAGGGACTCGAGTGTTACCTTTACCATGACCGAGGGAAGGTCAAAGGAGGCATTTCCAGCTGCTGGGGAGCTGGACGCAGGAAAGCACACACTCTACCTTAATGGCCAATCCAGAGAGGTCTGCACTGTCGGGCACCGGGGGCAGGTCCAGCCGCACGTCCATGTCATATGTGCGGCTGTGCACGAGGGCGCCAAAAAGCGAGACCCGGGTGTCTCTCTCAAACCTGTCACTCCAAGGATCCCCATATGAGAAGAGCCCCGTGGTGGGCAGGCCAGTGCCTGGGGCCGCCTCCATCACCTGAAGCGCCTTCTGGATCATGTCCTGACATAAGTACTCCTCCCTGGAGATCAAAGACTGGACGTCCAACTCAAACACACTCAGGTCGTAGAAGTCGTAGCCGCCGTAGGGCACGTTTCGCCCCACGTGCCTGTTGTTCCAGAAGTAGTCCCTCTTGCGCCGCAGCACCTGAGGGGGGCCGCTCCCTGCCAGCTGCACCAGGAGGTCCAAAACAGACCCCACCTCCACCAGCGGACCGCAAGGGGCCTCGAGGAGCTCCTCCACCAGCTCCTCCAGACGGTCAGCCTCGGGGCCCAGACCGCCCACTCTCAAGTCGAAGGACAGCATGAGGACCTTGTTCTTCACCGGGAGCTTCGCGAGATCAGGCTGCAGTCTGCGAGTCTCGTCTTGAAAAAGGCCCGTGAAGAGGGCATTGTAGGCCACCCTCTTGAGGCTCTGCTTTGCCCTCTGCCGGCTCACGCCGCGCTGGCCCAGGGGAACCTTCGCGGCTGGCAGGAGGGCCTCGCACAGGTCGTCCAACAGCTGCGGGACGCTGGCCATGCCCACCCCTTTCAGCTCCCGGCCCCCAGCAGGCGTTAAAGCACCGCGGCCGGGCTGCACCCCGGCCTTGCGGACGCAGACGCGGGAGCGGACCGCACGGGGCTGAGAGCTGGGCGACCCGAGACCGGCACCCGGAGGCTCAGCAGTGGCGCCCCCCGCCGCCCCGCCGCCCGCAGCAGCCCGCAGAGCGCCAGCTCGCCGCCTGTCCCGGCCACCAGCCTTCCCCGTTCAGGGGTCACGGAGCGGGACAACCCCGAGGAGACCGCGAGGGCCGTACACAGCGGACGTGGCCCGCTCTGCACGCTCTGTCTGCGTCCCGAGAGGGACCGCCGGGGCTTCGCGCCGCCCGGGGAGGGAGTGTGGGGGTGGCGGCAGGCAGGGTCCCCGGGCGAGGCCTCACCCCGCAACGAGAACGCAGCAGCCGCTACCGCCACCACCATCCCCGCCCGCCGCGTCACTGCCCCCGCGACCGCTCCGGATATCTATATCGGTCGCGCCGGAATTACGTCATCGGAAGGGCGGAGCGGCGGGCAGGGCACTTCCGGTTTGGCGTGCGGGGGCCGAGTAGGGGAGCGTAGGCGCACTGCGGGCTGGACTGAGGGGGTGGAGTCACAGTTTCGCTAGTTTTCGGTGCTTGGGAGGGTGAAAGCTGACGGAGGGGGCACTCGCCAGGCTGGACTGCGCACGCCAGGAGTGGGGGCTGGAGCGGGGCCCCCAGCTGGACCTCGGCCATCGCCGCGTCCGTCACAGACCCAGCCCGAGCGCGTGCCTGTGCGCTGCGTCTCCTCCGGGAAGCCCACCGGCCTGCAGCTGCGGCAGGGAGGAACCCCGGCGCCCTGGACTCCTGCTTCTCTGCCACGACCAGACCTCCCAGCTCCCTGCTCTGGCGCTGCCGTGGCTCGCTGCGGTGGAACCCGGCGCGGACCCCCACGGGATGCGAGCGGCCGCGAGGACAGGTGCGGGCGCCTCGGACCCGGGGCTGGAGGGTGATTTCTCCCTGGATTTCCAGCTCCGCGCGCGGTGTGCGGGCGCCCCAGGCCTTGTCCTGGCTGAGGTCTCCTTCTCAGAGCTGGACTGCCCGGTCGGACCTGCGCTGCGCTAGAGAAGAACCTCGGAGAAACGGGCCCAGAAACCACAATGCTCTCGGGGGACCCCCTTCCTGAGACCCAGCCGGTTGTGTTTTTAACCCCGCGGAGCCTTCTCGTGTGCGTCGCTCGCTGAGTGGACTGACTGAACCCGAAGCAGCCAACCAGGGGAAATACATGACCCCTCGGCATGTTTCCTGTGCTTGTCTCTGACGGCGCCATGGCACCGTCCGGGCACACTGCTCGTTTGTTCCCGCTGGATCAGCTGCCCTGCTCTTTATCGGCAAGTCCCTGGCTGATTTTGGCAGAATGGACAATGAGCCTCCCATCAAGACGCAAACAGACCCTCAAGACCTCTCCCCAGAATTAAAGAATACTCTAGAAACCACGAAGCTCTTCAGGGAATCCGGCTTACAAAGCTCAGAGCCTCGCTATTCCCTGCACTAGTTCCTGTAACGCCCGTTTTACCTGCGAGACAGGGGGCGGGGGGCTCTGTCCAGGTCCTTGGAGCAGCTCCCTGCTGTTCCCAGCCCCAGGTGCTACGGACATGCACTCCCGCCCACCGCGAACTCCTCATAAGGACCTGTGGGGTGCGTCTTCCAGGATTTCAGTAGGTGAGCTAGGCCAGTATGGTTTGCCTTCACCTGGACAGATTTCTGCCCCAGGGTTCCAGAGCCCTTCCACTGTTCACAACCTCAGAAGCTGAATCAGAAGATACAAAGCTTTCTGTAGGCTACACCTGGTTACAATACGCAGGTGATACGCTCTTCTGCCTTTCTCCACCCCTGCACAGGAGGCGGCGTCCACCTGTTAAAACTTTTAGCTTTAATAGGACGTAAAATCTCCAGAGGAAAACTGCAGTTTACTCAAACTCAGTAACAATACCGAGGGAGCCTAATTTCAGAACAACGACTGCATTTGGATCCAGTTACAAGGCTTCCTGGGACTGGCTGGCTGCTGTCACAGTTGAGTCCCAAACGTCTCTCTTATGGCTCAGCCCCTGTGTGCTTTGCTGAAAATGCAAACCTAACCCCATTATTTGGAAGGATCAGGAAGACATAGTTTTGGGGACTTTGAAGAAAAGCCTGGTAAAGCCCCCTGCCCCCACACATCCTAATGGTGGATTTCCTCTTTTCCTTTTTGTACATGAGGGCAAAGGGGACGACTTGGCTAGGCCCCTGCAGAAATGGTCACGGGGACCCTCTAACCATCCTTGTACTTTGGTCAAGGGCAAAACCACAGACATTCATACGGATCGTCAGGATGCCTTTGGGTAGCTCAGGACTTTGCAGAATGTATTCGATGCCATCCATCAGCTGGATATCGTTGAAGCTCCCAGGCCTTGTGGGCTCAGCTCCCTGGAGGCCAGAGTAATAATCCTGCTGAGATTTCTGCCAAAATGATGCTTGGTCAGTGGAGCGCGGGACTCTTGGTCTTGGGTTGTGAGTTCGAGCCCCACGCTGGGTGTGGAGATGACTTAAAAAGAAAATTGAAAGAAAAGAAAAGAAAACCAATAGCCAAGCCTCTGTCATGGTCCCAAGCGACGTTCTCCCAAATGATAATTTTGGAATACCAACCAGAGGTGCCCAAAAAAGGAAAATCTGGTAATAGCTGGTTTGATAAAAAAAAAAAAAAAAGAAGTCTGGTTGGGCCAGTTAACAAACCAGCCCTCCCAGAAACCCTAGAATACCCACTACTCACCGTAGCCTGTGCATTAAACCATTAAGCTACTAGCCTACTGACAAAATGAGTGTTCATGAACCAGTATCGTTGAGGAGATAATTAGGCCACAGAAAGGGCCCCCTCATTTGCCCCACCTGTCCACCCAAGTGGATCTCCTACAGCTTCCATGTCTCCTGGCCCCTATGTTTTCTCACTGGACCGAAGCTTTTTCTTCTGGACAGGCCAGTGCTGCTTCTGTGGCTAAAATTCTGTTAGGAAAGATTGTCCCTACCCAGGGAACCCCTCTTGAACTTCCTCGAGGTCAGAGAACCCCTCTTACTGGCTGGGTGCTTCAGCAGGCCTGCCCTTTGCTGCCCCCCTTCACCCCCATCAGTCCCCGAGTTAGTCACATGCACCACCAGCACTGGTGAGCCTCAACTGGCAAAATCCATACACCTTCCAAATACCTGGGCCCAGAGCATTGCGGCTGGTCCTTCTAACCCTCAGATCCACCCCCTGGGGAATTGCCAGACTCCCACCCTCGGAGATTTCCAGGACCATCCAATGCACTTGGCCCCTGCCTCCTCTGACCCACGTTAATAAAAGGAGATGTACTTCCATACTGTTCTTTGGGTCTAATTTCTTCTATTGAAAGTAGCCATGCGGGACGCCTGGGTGGCTCAGTCAGCTGAGCATCTGCCTTCCGCCCAGGTCGTGATCCCAGGGTCCTGGGATCAAGTTCTTCGTTGGGCTGTCTGCTCCACAGAGAGCCTGCTTCTCCCTCTGCCTGCCGCTCTCCCTGCTTGTACGTTCTCTCTTCTTGCAAATAAATAAGAAAAACCTTAAAAAAGTAACCATGCTTTGGTGGTGCCCGGGTGACTCAACGGGTTGGGCGTCCAACTTGGTGTTGGCTCAGGTGGTGATCTCCTGGGTGGTGAGGTCGAGCCCTGCAGCAGGGTGGGGGTGCTCAGGGGGAAGTTAGCTTGGACATTCTCTCGCTCTGCCCCTCCTCCCGCCACTCTCTCAAATGAATGAATAAATCTTTAAAAAAAAAGTGTTTTAAAAAGTAGCCACGCTTCAAGAGAACAGTGTACACAGGGAGCTTCTGGGAGATGGAGAGGATGGCCTTAAGCACCACATCTTGTGGCCTGGACATGTCGTTTATTGGAAAAGACACCTCCAGAAAGACTCTTCAACCTTGCCAGGAAGGCCCCTCTCAGGATCTGTTAACCAGCCCTTGTGCCTCCCGACTCCAGGTAAGATACTCTGATCCACCCGACGCGTGGAGAGAAGGCCCCAAGCCTGACGAGACCCGCACACCAGCCGGCGACCTGCAAGTGAAGACCTCCCGCGCTGAAACGGACATCTGGGGAGACAGCTTTCCTGAGATGTGCAGAGCAGGCCCGTGCACCTTCTCCTCCTTTCCCTTCCTTCTGGGGGAAGACAATGCCCTGTGGGGATCTCCTAAACCCCGGGGACAGGGGAACCTCTTTTGTTTATGGCCTTGCAGGAGCAGCCGCACCATGACAGCGGGACAAATGAATTTTCCGCTCCCTTGTTTTGAAGGGTTAGAAGGTTCGTGTTCACAAGTCCCTCTTTCACCTGACCCTATCTCTTACTCTGGATTCTTACCCAAATTCAGTCTGTGAATTTGCACCATGCGGGCTGTATTATGGACGACGGTTGTTTCCAGCTCTCTTGAGAGAACGGTACAATCTCAGCGCGTCTTTGAGGTTTTGCTGTTTTTGTTAAGCTGTTGCTTCGTTTTTCCCAAACACACTTAGCTAACTGCTGTCCTGTGTTCTCTCAGTGCCCGCCTCACGCCCCCCCCCCCCCCCCCCCGAAGAACATTTCTCCCCTAAATTGAAGTAAGTGCCAGTACCTACCTTCAGTTGGCGACTACAGACCTACGGTGTAGTTTAGGACCATCGCACAGTTTGGGACTGTTAGGTTACCTCTTCTGTTTCGAGTAGCTATTTTAAGTTTCGTGTTTTGTTAACTGTCAAAAAAACTTTCGTAAAACCCATGTGCTCGCTAAGGAAATGATATTTGTAACCTTGAGAAGATGTAGACTTTAGACGGGAGGTACCTGGCCGTCCTCCCTCCTGACCGCCCATCCGACTCAGATGTGCCCTCAGGTGGTTTCCAACTGGCACACACTTTCCCTCCGATGTAGGAGTGGACAGGCAGAAAAGTCCTTCCTGGCACCAACAGACAAAAACCCTAAACACGGAAAACCTGACTCTTGATCAGTGATGCTTTCGAAGAAAGAAAGGTCTTGATCAAAAGGGGGTAATGTGGAAAATAAAGGGAAACTTTCTGAAGTGTGCCTGGGTGCTAGAAGGGGAGGCTAGAAGGGGGAGCTGTGCCTCTCCACGCCGATTACAGGAAGGGGCCCAACAGAAGAACCACCGGCAGAGAATCATCAGAAAATCGTCACCATCCTGACCTCTGGCTCTTCTCCAGTGGACGCTCATTCGGAACAAACCCTCCCAGCTTCCTTCTTCATAAACTAATGTTCCTTTTCGCTTATTGAACTTGCCTATGGTTTTGCCACAGTCTCCTGGTCCCAAATTGCAATTCTCTGCTATTCCCGAATAAGCCCATTCTTGCTGGTAAAACAACTTTTATTTTTAAGGTTCAGAGAAGTGTAGGAAGTGAGGATGGGGCCGCCTGTGAAGAGGTGGGCCACTGGAAGGGGGCTCCAGGTCCCTGCCGTGGACAGAGTGCCCCCGAGCCAGTGCCCTCCACAGCTCCGTGGCCCGGCCCTGTGCACAAAGGCCTCCAGCCGTGGCGTACTGGCGAATGTTTGCATCTCCCGGATGCGAAGACGTCCACCCTGGTGGACTTCAGGCTACCAGCTCACGGCACTCCAGAAGGAGCTGGGAAGAAATGTACAATCACACTGTCACTGCGATGAGCAGGTTCAGGACGGCACCTCAGTCCCCAGGGTGAGGACTCCTCTCCCCACAGGGCTCTATGGCAGGACTGTCCCCCGCACTCGCTGCGTCCAGCCTCAGCCCTGCCCCCAGCCTGACCAGCCACCTGCAGCATCTCCCACTGTGCTCCCAGCTGCCCTCTCAGGTGCGCCAGGGCCTGCAGGTCGTCTGGGGAGGCCATGGAGAAGGGACCCAGGCTGGGGGGTGGCTCTCCATGCAACACCCGGGCCAGGACCCCCACAAGCTGGCATGTGCACTCCTGGGCCAGGAACAGAGGTGAAAGCAGCAAGTCACAGGTCTCTCCCCACATCCCACCCCCCACCCACAGCACGTCCACCCTGCCCAACTCACCTGCTCCACTAGGACCAAGACTCGGCCCCCTGCTGGCCCCCGTAGAAGTGCAGCCAGGAGTGCAGCTTGGGGGTCCTGGAGGCCATGGGCTGGTCCAAGCGCCACCAGCACCAGGTCAGGCTGGAAGCCATAGGCCAGGGGCAGCACAAGGGCCAGGATGCAGCTCAAGAACCCACCCGTCGTCTGCGGGAAGGACAGCAGCACAGCCCAGCCCCTCAGCCAGGGATCACCCCACCTCCCACAGTCCCAACAGGAAGCCACGCAGGACAGGTGAAGGCCAGAAACTGGACCCCTGAGGACGCCGATGAGCGGCAGCTGCCCTGCCCATGACCCTACCACTCACCCCTGACAGCGGCACAGACACGTGGAACGTGGACAGGGCAGCCGCTTCTTTGCCTCTGATGTTCAGCCACAGGATCCTCCTTCCAGGGAAGGGTGAGCACACGTGCACGCGTGTGAGATGCAACATACCCTCCAGAGCCCAGACAGCAGAAGCAGAGGCCCTGCCTACCCTCCACCGTGGGATCCCAGAATGACGTACCCACCCACACGCGGGACCAGATGCACATACGACCTGAGCGTCCTACCCATCATTGGCAAGGTCTGGGGGCCGATCCAGCTGTCCCAAAGCCACACAGAACACCCTAGAAGAGAAGGTGGCCCCGGGACAGGCTGCACTCACCCAGCCAGAAATGCATTTCCAGAGCCCTCCTCACAGGGTGGGAAACAGGAAAGGTGTGGCCCCGCAAAGGCATGGGGTGCCCATGGGCCATGCCCTGAAGGCTTACCTCTGGGCTCCATGGGACAAGCCCTGTCGAAGGACCACCTCCAGAGTGGGGGCTGCCGCTGGGGTTGTTGCGATGCCGCTGCTCACCTGTCGGGGGCAACCCCCAAGCAGGCACAGAGTCACCCCCGCCCCTGTTCTCAGTCCCTGTCTACAGAGCTGCCGTCTGTGTGACCTGAGCTCAGACCGCTGCACTTCTGGAAATAAGGTGCTCAAAACTGTACTTCAAATCACCGCCTTCCCCTAACTGTTGGAGAGCATGTAGTTGAGGACACTGAGTGACCCTGAACTTATGACCTCGTTCCTAAGGGCTGTTCTAGAAAGGGTTCATGTGGTCCTGTACCATCCAGCCCTCCCCGAATAGGGGCCCTGCCCCCAGCTCCATGGCCGCCCTCCACCCATCCCAGGAGCCCCCACCTGTCCATCCAGGATCCCATTCAACAGATGCAGGACCTTCCCAAGTGCAGTGAAAGCCGTGTCCTGGGTCAGGGCCTCATGCAGCCTGTGGTGGGAAACCAGAGGGACATGTGGACAGGAAGTGACACAGATATCATGGTGCCCATGTACACACAGCCCCACCCCTCTCCCCAGGCCTGCCTGCTCTGCCCACCTGGCCCAGGCCTGTGTCTCCTCCCGTGGGGCTGACCCCTCCTGATGGAGGACGTCAGGGGGCAGGACCAGGGCAGCAGCCGGCGCAGTCAGGGCGATAACCGTGCGGACAGGGGGTGTGGCGTAGAGGTGCAGCTGGTCCAGGAGTGAACTCAGGACAGCCGAGGTCTGGGCCTCCGCTGCCTTGCATTTGGGTTCCCCAGGCGACACAGCGGAGGGTCTCCTCTCTGGCAAGAACGTGCTGAGACTCAGTGTGGGGGTCGACCCTAGGGAGTGATTCAGAGTCAAAGCCACTGTGTGGGAGCAACCCCACTCCCAGTTTGGGCCACACTGACCTTGCTGCCAAAGGCTGGTCCAGTGAGGAGCCTGGGCTGCCCGGACGCTCTGGATGGACTCCAGGGCACTGTGGGGAGAAGCAGGAGCAGTCAGGCCTGGCCATGAACCCCCAGCCCTGCCCAGCCGCCTGCCCCATACCTGTGCCGAGGCACCATGGGCCCCAACAGGGGCGGGGCAGGGTCACCCAGCAGCGCCTTCACCACCATGCACACGGACTGGGACAGTGACTCCAGGTGGTAGCCTCCCTGGGAGCAGGGAGAGAACAGAGACACGACTAGACAGGGCTGTGAGCGGGGCAGGGTACCACCAGCCCAGGCAGGACGCCCCACCGGGTACAGCAGGCCCCCTCTGACTGCACCCTGACACCCAGCCAGTGACCCCCCTTGCCGCCAGTCACCTCCAGCACAGCACAGACCCGGCCGCCGGCCAGCACCTGCAGCAGCTGCGTGAGGTGGGCGAAGCACTCAGGAGTGGCCTGCATCTGCCCCTGGAACCAGAGCCCCGTGTGAGGGGGCCCGGCCCCAGGACCCCAGACGCCCTCCCCAGCCAAGCCCAGACCTCACCTCGGGATCCCCAATCGCCGAGTCAAAGCCTGCTGAGATGAGCACCAGCTCAGGATCAAACTGTGGACAGGGCCAGGTGGGGACAGGCAAGACAGAACCTGGAGCGGGGGTGAAGGAGGCCCCCCCCCCCCAGAGAGTGCTCCCCACCCACGGGGCTCTGTTCTGCTCCAGCGGAGGGGGACTCTGAGCACAGAATCCCCCTCCCACGCTCCTCCCACCAACACCAAGCCCCCATGCAGTTACCTCAAAGGCCACAGGGAGCAGCACGTGCAGGAAGGCGGCCATGTAGTCGGCATTGCCCATCCCGACCTGCGGCCATCGAGCATCAGAGCTGGGCCCTGGGATGGGGGGTGGGAGGCTCTGGGGTCTTCACTCCTGGGGCCCAGGATCAGGGGGTGACCCTGGAAGGATGCCCTGGACTACGTTTGGGAGGTCTGGGGCTGTGGGGCAGGGGGGAGGCCTGGGGGCAGGACTGGGGGGGAGGGGTGGGCACCTGGTTCCAAGGCAGGTTGACTGTGAAGCCTCGGCCGGGCCCTAGCCCAACAGCGTCTGCATCTGACTCCCGAAGATAAGGCCAAAAGCGACCATGCTCGTAGCGGTGCCAGGAGAAATAAAGAACACTGTGGACAGCCGGCCCAAATCAGAAGTTGGAGCTCAAAGGTCAGGACCTCAGCCCCATGGCTCCCAGCCAGGGGTGGTAGGAAAGGCCAGTGACCCCAGCTCACCTGGGGTCATCCTCGAAGATATACTGGATGCCCTGACCGTGGTGGACGTCCCAGTCGACAATGAGGATCCTGGGATAGGGAGTGCACAGGCCACTGAGGGGCTGGGCCTCCCACCTGGGGGCGAGGAGCCCACCCCTGCACAGGAGAGCACCACACGGGGTCTCTGAGCAGCCTACCCCACCACTTTCCGTCCGGCGCAGCCCCCACCCCACAGCCGCCCCGACACACCTGCGCACGCCGTGCTGCTTCTGGGCATATCTGGCGGCTATGGCCACATTGTTGAACACACAGAATCCGTTGGCAGCAGCCCTCTGGCTGTGGTGCCCCGGAGGTCTGTGGGTGAAGATTGACCCATCAGGGTCATCCTGTGCCCTCCCAGGGCCACCCACAGGTAGGAGCAGCCCAGGAAGGGGACAGCCCTCACCTCACCAGGGCGAACCCATTGTGTGCAGTTCCAGTCAACACAGCATCCACCAGCTGCAGCGCAGCTCCCGCAGCCAGCCTGGCACAGTGGAAGGTACTCTGCGGGGTGAGGGTGGGGGTGCCCATGAGCCCCTGCCGTCTACACCACAGGCTCTGCCCTGGCTGTTGCCCAGTGTGGGTCCAGCAGCTGCTGCCAATAGGGTGCGCAGGCCATCCGCACATTACTGAATGCTGGGGGGCCCCCGAAGATAAAACAGGCACAGAAAGGCAGACGTGCATTGGGGGTGGGGGTGTCCCCAGGGCCGCACCGGGTGGAAGTAGACAGCATCGTACTGTCCAGACAGCGCCTGTAGTTCCTCGGTGCTCAAGGCCTGGGTTCCTCGCAGCAGGGACACATACTCTGGGCTGCAGAGGGGCAGGCAGTCAAGACAAGGTCACCGCAACCCAGCAGGGAGGGGAGGAGAGGGAGGAGTTGGACCCTGGTGGGACCGCCCACCTCACTGTTCCCTCCCCCATCCACCCAGTAGTGAAACTGAGGCAGGTGGGGAGTTCTGTTTTCAAGACCCGGGCAGGCTGGGCGTTGGCACGTCCCAGGCGGTGGCCTCTGTGGTGCGTGGCTCCAGGGGGGTCTGACCTGTGCACCAGGCCCAGCTCCGCCTCTGAGGCCTCTCGAGCTGCCAACTGTAGACACCTCTGCTCCAGGCCACCCTGCTGCAGACGCTCCACGGCTGCGGTCAGGCGCTCAGGACGCTCGATCTCACACTCGGGGCTGCGTGGACACCAAGCTCAGCGACCAGAGCCCCCTCCCCATGCTCCCTTAAGTGTAAGATCACACTTACTCGTCCCAGAGCAGCCGCGCGGCTGTCATTTCCTCGTGGTACACGAGCGCCGTCCTCATGGCCCAGCCGCCCCGGGGAAGCAGGTGAGCGCACCGCCTGTTCCCTGCGGGCAGCCCCGGGGAGCCGCTCACCCCCCCGGGACACAACTGGGGCGGCGCTCGCGGAGCCGGGGCACAAACGCGCAGAACCCAGGCACGGGACGAGCCGCCGGCCGCAGTCGGAGTCCGAGGGGTGGCTCCCGGGCACAGGTTTCCGGCCTCCTGAGACTCGGGCCTGGCACGGTCCGACCCCCGCTGCCCAAAACCCCGCCCGAAGCGCGGCCTGACCGGAGCGCGGCGGGCCTGAGGCCCGGGGCCGCGGCTCAACCTCACCCCGCAGCCCCGAGCCGGACGCGGCTACGCGAAGGGGCGGGAGGGAAGGGCGCCCCGCGGGCCGTCACGGCGGCACCACGGAGTGTCCCCGTCCGCCCCAAAGGTTCCCCCCGACCCTCGCGGACGGCGCGGCCCAAGGCGTCAGACACGCCCGCAGCCCGCCCCGTCCGGCGCCGCGCAGGGGCCCCTCCTCGCCAGGGCTGGAGGAGCAGCGGCGAGCCAGGGGCGAAGCAGGCGGGAGGCCGAGCGGAGGGAGGTGCGGGCGGGGGAGGAAGGAGGCGACGAGTGCTCGAGGCCGGCACCCGGGGCGGCTCGGACCGAGCCCCAGAGCCCGCCCGCCCCGGCAGAGCGCGCACGCAGGAGCCGCGGGCCGGAAACCCCGGGGCTCTACGGGCCTCGCGGGGGCGGGGCCTCGTGGGGGCGGGGCCACGGGCCCGAGTGCCCGGCGCGCGCCCGCCGGAGACGGGGCCCCGGGGTCTCGAGACAGGTTCCGGGGGCGGGGCCTCGGGAGGCCGCGCGCGGGGGAGGGCGGGCTTCTAGAAGGCGGGGCCGGGAGCGCATGTCCTGAGGACCCGGGGTCTTGGAAGCGGGGACCTTGGGGCGGGGTCGCCAGCAATCCCGTTCCTCGGCTCCCCAGAGTGCCGGAACGACCTCGACGGCTGCCCCGAGAGGGCCCTGCCCACCGCGGCGCGCGACCCCGCGGGGGCCCCCACGCTCCCGACCCAGGCACCCGCCAGCGCGGGCTGCGGGAGTCCCATCGGGGCTCTGGGAAGACCCCGACGGACTCTTGGGTCCGGTGCCCGCCCCTGCGCCAATCACGGCGGCTGCGCAGTGGCGCACACTGCGCGGCCATCCTGGGTCACGTGGCTCTAGGGCGGGGCCCGGGGCGCCCTGCCCCTCCGGGAATCTCCCCGCGCGGAGGGTCCCTGCCCGCGTCCCTCCGGGGGGCGTCGCAGAGCCCGGAGCGGAGGAGGTCCGTGTCCACTTGGGCAACTTGTCCGACCATACTTGACTGGGCCAGCCGTTCGCGTGTGCGGCCGAGCTCCAGGCGGGAAGAAGGGGGACGGCCTGGCCCAGCTTTGGGCGCCCCTGCCGTCGGACAGGTGGGAGGAGCCAGGGCAAACGCAGGAGCCCCGGAGTGGCCCGTGACCCCGCTGTCAGCTCTCCGCGACGTCCAGTGGCTGGCAGAGGGCTCGCCGAGGGCGCTGGGGTGCGACAGGTGTCTCAAAGCGCCAAGCGGGACCCCTCCTCGCTAGGAACCTGGCTTTGAGAGCGCAGGGAGCCCAGACAGCTGGGACTGAGCCCCAGGTCGGAGCCTAACCCCGTCCTCATCAGGCCGTGCCTGGCGTCTGGCTCCAGAATCTGAGCCATTAGAGGAAGGAGGGGCCCATCCCCAGTGCAGGGGCTTCAGGCTCTGGGCTCACTGTGGACCTGGAAGGAAGGAGGTGCCCAGGCCCAGCTGCTGAGTAGGGCCTGGGGCCCCATGGCCAGCTTCTCTGTGCCAGGCTGCAGCTCAGACGCCCAGAGGTGGAGATCCAGTCTGAGAATTAGGAAAGCCAGAGTGTGCTCTCTACAAAAGGGTTTATTCCTTCCAGCTGTGTGGGCATGGCCCATTCTGGGCTGGGGGTGCAAGGGAGTCCACAGCCACACCCCACAGGACAGACATCCCTGAGTAGGCACTGTGCGCCGGCCCTGTCCTTTCTCTGCTGTTTCAGCTGGGCTTTGGCAGGGGCTGGAGCAGGCAAGGTCAGAGGCCAGGCCTTGACCCCAGGCCTCACCTCCCAGCCCCACACAGGCTCTGAGGCTTGTTGTTGCATCTGGGGGAGGGGACCACCGCTCAGGGAGTCAGAGGCCAGTCCCCCGTCAGGCTGACATCCTGTCCAGAAGGTCCAGATGTTCCCCCAAGTTTAGACTGAAGCGGGAGCCTTGAGAGCAGGGTAACAGCCTTGGGTGGATGGGAGGATCTGTGGAACCAGAGGTCTCCTGGGACATAAGCCTCAGCCAAGTCACAGTGATCGTTAGGATCGCCCTTCCAGGTAGGAACCCCAGCCAGGATCCCCAAGGCGTCCTCACCACCTCTCAGGGCCCAGGGGTCTTCACAGAGCCGTCTCCTTGGAGACCTTGGTCCCCAGCTGCCGGGGAGGCTTGAAGCTGAGCACTTCTTTGTATGTGACACCTGGGTCGGGGTGATAGAGACAGACTGTCATGGGAGAAGGGACTTCATCACCCTTCAGAATCCCCTCCTAGGATGAATACCCAGGGTGGAAGCCAGTGACCCAAGAAGAGCACTGGGCCCAGGGCACTGGTACTTGCCTCTCAGGGTGGGGGAGGGGAGAGCTCCTGGGCCTATAGCACAGGCTGTTAGTCCCTGACCTAGGGGCCTAGGTGGTCCCAAAAACATCGGGGTCAGAAGTCACTGCTGGAGTGCAGGTGCCGGATAGGCTGCCCTTGTCCCACACATGCGACTTCATCGCAGGCTGTGGCCACACTCAGCCCACCTGTGTCCATCCACAGGAGCTATCCACCTTGATGGGGCTCCTGCAGCCCTGGAGTGGCCAGGCGGGCCCCGGCCCCACACCCTGACGTAATGAGCAGACCCTGTCCTCCGAGTATAAATCCATGTGTCTACTCAAGTGGTCCCACCAGAACACAGCCCGGTTCCTGGGTCCCAGATATCCACAACAACTCCAGTGACAAGAATTCCCACAAACAGCCACAGCTTCTACCCTCCTCGCCAGATGTTCATGGTCCCTGAAATGTGAGCCCAGAGCCAGCCATCCCAGAGGAAGGGAGAAGGCCCGATGTGCTTTCCCTCTGAGCAGCCTGTGAAGGGACAGCTCTGCATAGGCTCCCCCAGCATTCCCATGCTCATCTGGCCAGTGGAGCACCTGTCTGGGGAACACCGGCCCTCCACAGGCCCAGCGCAGGAAACATTGTGTGTTTAGAGCAGGTGCTCTGTGTGGCTCGCCCTGCTTGTGGCACCTGTGTGCTCCTGCCCCGTCGGGGGCCCCCCAGGCTCCTCACCTAACCCTAACCTGAGGGTCAGTCCCCACAGGGGAGGTTTGTGTGAAGCTGGCTGTTCCCAGAGAAATGGGAGGTGAAGAGTGTCAGCATTCCTAACCGGGGGCTCGGCCGCAAACAGGTCACGTGTTCACCATGGTCTGCAGCAAAAGTGAAAGTTCTTACCACTGTGTGTGGGTGGGGACCACAGAAAGGGTTCTGTGGCTCGTGGTTTTCATCTTTCGTAGCAACAGAAGACTTTCATCAAACCAAACCCAACGTATAAGCACAGGTAAGAGTGGGGCCCTACCAGAGGCACCAAGCTTCCCAGTAACCAAGGAACAGGGTCTGAGAACCACCAATCCCGTCCCGTCCCACCCCCATGTGCAGCACCAAGGCCCCAGGTCTGAGGCAGAGCCAGGACCGGACCTGAATGCTGTCTGCAGATATTTCCAGCACCCTCCAGGCTGGTCCTGCAGCCACCAAGAGAGAGACACGGAGCCCAGCCCTCATTGCCTGACATCCTGCAAAGCCAGTCCCAGCATGCAGCCTGAGCACCTGGCAGGTGTCCCCGAGCCCAGCCTGAGGCCTAGCATGTGCTGGTTGGGCCCTGAAAGATGAGGGAGGGGACATCGCTCTAAGGCGACTGCCAATGCCCAGCCTGGTGATGCCAAGCACAGGTTTCGGTGGGTCTGCACGGCTCAGCGGGACTCCAAGGAATGCGCAAGGATGTGGAGGAGGCTTCATGGGGTGGGCCCTATCCTGCCACCTGGTGTCCAGCAGTCCAGGTGCGAGAGGTCCTGAAAGGGGCAAAGAGGGGCGCCTGCGTGGCTCAGCTAGTGGAGTGTTTGACTCTTGGTTCTGGCTCAGGTCAGGATCTCCGCGTCGTGATATCAAGCCCTGTGTTAGGCTGCACACTCAGCAGAGTCTGCTTGAGGTCCTCTCCCTCCCTCTGCCCTGCCCCGCTTCGCACGTGCACATGCCCACCCCTCCCTCCCTCCCTCTAAAATAACTAAGTAAATCTTTTTTTAAAAAGAGAGTGCAAAGACAAGGACAACCTCAAGATGGAACAGCGGAGGTCTGGGGGACAAGAGGGTGCAGAGGGGCTCCAGAACAGCCCAGGTCTCTGGCCAGGACAGGGGGAAGACGGGCAGCGCTGGGGCCGGGCTGCCGGGGCAGGGAGAGAGTTAGGGCTCACAACTTCCCTGAGCTGGGAGCGGTCTCCCACAGTCTTCAGAATTCACCTCCTGTTCTTGTCAGTGCTGAGCCCCCTGCCAGGGACATTGTCTCATCCTTCAGCTTCAGCCAGAGGTCATCTTGGCCAAGAAGCCCCACTGCCCTCTGACTGTCTGTGTATCCCTCACATGACCGGCATCCCCAGGTAGGGGGACCCAACCCTGAGCCCTGGAGCCCGGCACTGGGTTCTCCAGGTCCCTCCACAGGCCCCGCCCAGAGCCCCCACTCACGTTTCCACTCGTCCAGCATGTGATCTATATCATCAAAGGACTCGTCATACTTCTGGGCCGTGGGCTCGTCCTCCGTGTCCTGCAGTGACTCGAAGTAGGGGTGGGTCAGCGCCTCAGCCGCAGTCACCCGCCGCTCTGCATCCAGCACCAGCATTTTCTCCAGAAGGTTCACGGCTATGGGGAGGGCTGCTCAGGGAGGGTCCCAGGCCGCGGTGCCCTAGTCCCTGACCCAACGCTCCCCCCGCAGTCCAGTCCTACCCAGAGGGCTTGCATTAGTCAGGATGGAGGCAAAATCCTTCTTCTCCAACTCGGGGAGGCCCTTCATGTAGTTCTTCGCCTTTTCGGGAAGCAAAGGTAAGGGTCCGACCCCCAGACCCAGGCCCAGCCCCCGCAGCTCCCGTCCAGCTCCCAACTGACATCGGCACTCTGCAGCCTCTGAACAAACTCGGCAGGAGGCGTCCCGGTCACCTTCATGATCTCCTTCAGCTGGTCCAGGTCTGCGCCAAGGTCAGGAGCACAGAATAGGGCGGAGAGCAGCACGCGCCCCCTCCGGGCCCGGGCAGCATGCCCAGCCCCCACCCAGGCCCTGCCTGCCCCCCAACAAGGGTAGGATACGGTCACTGCCCTTGAACAGCGTCTTCCCTGTGATCATCTCCGCCATGATGCAGCCCGC